TCGTTTTCTCGAACCAAGCGTTTTCTGGTGATTTCGATCCCTGGGTCGTGGTTTCCTCGGACCCTGGTTCGTTTTCTCGTTTTCTCGGCCCCTCGGTCGTGGGTCGTTTTCGCGTTTTCTCACTTCCTGGGCTCCTGGGTCATGCTCTCGTTTTCTCGGGGCCTGGTTCGTTTTCTCGTTTTTTTTTCTAGGCCCCTGGGTCGTGGTCTCGTTTTCTCTGACCCTGTTCGTTTTTTCGTTTCCTTGTTTTCTCGGCCCGTGGTTCGCAGTCTCGTTTTCTCGGGCCCTGATTCCTTTTATCGTTTTCTCGTTTTCTCGGCCCCTGGGTCGTGGTCGTGTTTTCTCGGACCCTGGTTCGTTTTCGCGTTTTCGGTGCCCTTTGCTCGGACCTTGGTTTGTTTTCTCGTTTTCTCGTGTTCTCGGCCCCTGGGTCGTGGTCTCGTTTTCTCTGACCCTGGTTCGTTTTTTGTTTTCTCGACCCCTGGATCGTGGTCCCGTTTTCTCGGACCCTGGTTTGGTTTCTCGTGTTCTCCGTTTCTCGGCCCCTAGATTGTGGTTTTGTTTTCTCTGACCCTGGTTCGTTTTCTCGTTTTCTCGGCCCCTGGGTCGTGGTCTCGTTTTCTCGGGCCCCGGTTTGTTTTCTCGTTTTCTCGTTGTCTCGGCCCCTAGGTCGTGGTCTCGGTTTCTCGGGCCCCGGTTCGTTTTCTCGTTTTCTTGTTTTCTCGGCCCATGGGTTTTTGTCTCGTTTTCTCGGCCCCCGGTTCGTTGTCTTATTTTCTCGCTTTCTCTGCCCCTGGGTCGTGGTCTCGTTTTCTCTGACCCTGATTCGTTTTCCTGTTTTCTTGTTTCATCGTTCCCTGGGTCGTGGTCTTGTTTTCTCGGACCCTGGGTCGTTTTCCCGTTCTCTTGTTTTCTCGGCCCCTGGGTCGCGGTCCAGTTGTTTAGGACCCTGGTTTGTTTTATCGTTTTCGCATTCTCTCTGCCCCTTGGTCGTGGGTTTGTTTTCTCGGACCCCCTTTCGTTTTCTCGTTTTCTTGTTTTCTCGGCCCCTGGGTCGTGGTCTCGTTTTCTCGGGCCCTGGTTCGTTTTCTCGTTTTCTCTGCCCCTGGGTCGTGGTTTGATTTTCTCGGGCCATGGTTAGTTTTTTTGTTTTCTCGTTTTCTCTGCCCCTGGGTCGTGGCCTCGTTTTCTCTGGCCCTGGTTCGTGTTCTCGTTTCTTGTTTTCTCGGCGCCTGGGTCGTGGTCCAGTTTTCTCGGACCCTGGTTAGTTTTCTCGTGTTCTCCGTTTCTCGGCCCCTGGATTGTGGTTTCGTTTTCTTGGACGCTGGTTTGTTTTCTCGTTGCCTCGTTTTCTCGGCCCTGGTTCGTAGTCTCGCTTTCTCGGGCCCTGATTCCTTTTACCGTTTTCTTGTTTTCTCGGCCCCTGGGTCGTGGTCTCGTTTTCTAGGACCGATATTCGCGTTTTCTCGGCCTGGGTCGTGGTTTCGTTTGCTCGGACCTTGGTTTGTTTTATCGTTTTCTCGTGTTCTCGGCCCCTGGGTCGTTATCGTGTTTTCTCGGACCCTGGTTCATTGTCTCGTTTTCTCGTTTTCATGGCTTCTGGGTTTTTGTTCTCGCTTTCTCGGGCCCTGTTCGTTTTCTCGTTGTTTCGTTTTCTCGGCCCCTGGGTGGTGGTCTCGTTTTCTCGGGCCATTTTTTTTTTTTTTTTTTTTTTTTTTTGTTTTTTCTTTTTTTTTCTCGTTGTCTCGTTTTCTCGGCCCCTGGGTCGTGGTCTCGTTTTATCGGACCCTGGTTCGTTTTCGCGTTTTCTCGGCCCCTGGGTCGTGTTCTCGATTTCTCGGACCCTGGTTTGTTTTTTTGGACCCTGGTTCGTTTTCTCGTTTTCTCGGCCCCTGGGCCGTGGTCTCGTTTTCTCGGACCCTGCTTCGTTTCCTCGTTTTCTCAGCTCTGGGTCGTGGTCTCGTTTTCTCTGACCCTGGGTCGTCGTCGTCGTCGTCCGTCGTCGGTCGCGCGTCGTCCGTCGCCGTCTTCGCATGACCTCGTCGTCGTCGTGACGACCACGACGAGGTCATGCGAAGACGGCGACAATGACGGCGACGGCGGCGACGACGACGACGAGGACGACGACGGCGTCGTACGAAGACGTCGAGCGACGGCGACGGCAACGACGACGGCGACGGGGGAGGATCGTCCGGCAGGGGAAGTTCAAGGGAGGGGGGTGGTAGCTTCCAGCAGGGGGGGTTCAAAGGTGTGGGGGGTAGCTAAGTCCCCCTTCCCTTTGGAAAGGGGGGGAGGGGGGGTAGCTTCCGGAGGAGAACCAAAAAGGGGGGGAGGGGGGGGTAGCTTCCAGCAAGGGGGGCCCAAAGGTGGGGTAGCTAAGGGGGGACCCCCCCTTTGCGAGTTCCGTGCGCGCGCGCACTCTATCACACGTCCTCACACATCCTCGGATGTCTGGTCTGGGGGCCTGGACGTCGGGAGGCCCGGCAAGATGTATCAGGCCAGCCTTTTGCACAAGAGGCCCCCCCACGGGGGGGAGGGCACCAAAAATCCCCAAAGCCCCCAGGAGCTCCCAATCTCGGTGTCCCCTGATCGGCGAGGGCACCTGCGGTGTGGCTTTTGCCCGCCCGCCGCTCCTTGGGGCCTGCCGGCTTGGGGTGTTGGCACTGGGCGCTCGACGGAACGGGCGGCGCAGACTGGCAAGCCCTCGGGAGCCCTGGAACGACTCCCAAGAGGTGGCCGCCCCCGAGGCCTCCGAGAGGCCTCAAGAAGTTCCGCAGCAGACGCGGAGGAAGAGGATGACGAGCCATCAACAACTGCACGCGAGCAGCACGGCTGGAAGCGGCAAAGAGTACATCTCCTCCTCTGGGGGTCGGCGGAATGGCGTCAGCCTCTGTGATACAAAAGGCTGGACTTCGCGCCGTCTTGGGCCTCTGGAGGCCGGCTTCGGCCCCCTGGGGCCATCAACCAAAACGACCCCGTGAGAAAAGGCAGCTCTGGGGAGAAGGTCGAGAGGCCCTGGGGTCCACGTCTCGAGCCAGTCACCAGGCTGGCGGATGCATGTGTGAGGGGGTGGGCCACCACCGGCTTTCCACCTCCCGGGACTTCGCCACCGGGCTCCTGTCCAAGGTGTACCCTTTCCTGCACATCATCTTCGGCACCGCCTGATCCCAAGGCTTCGCCCTCTCCCGGCCGCCGTGAGGCCCCGCTTTCTTCCGCCCTTTCTCTGCTAATTACAGCTGTGCGCGTCCCGCTTAGCTTCCAGCGGAAGGGGTTCGCTCTCGCCCCGCAGATCAAAAAGTGAGGGGGTTGGGGAGCGCCCACCTGTCAGTTCGAGCAGGGGGAGTTTTGTCCGTCGGGGAAGCCTCCGTTTCTCCGCCTGAGGGCAGCGCTCCCTTCCCTCGCCCCCGTGGAGGGGCAGGGGCTTTCTTGTTGGCGGTCCCAGAGCGCTGCTGCGACAGACGGGCGTCCTCTGAAAACGACCCGAGTCCCGAAACCGCGCGGTCATTCCCAGTCCCCACTGGCTCACCGCCAGGTGTGGTCACCGCACCGTCTGGGGGCCCCCGATTTCGGGAAGCCGCCGTGCTCTTCCACCGAAGTCGGACCGGCGATCGAAATGAATCGGATCGGCGGCAATCGGCAGGCTAGTAAGGCCTTCGTTGAGAAGTCGGAGCTCTGACCGACTGACCGAATTTCGAAGTCATGTCGAATCGGAATCGGAAGCCATCGACATCGAATCGAATCGAATCGGAGGAGTCGAAATGAGCCCTGTTGGACAACCTGGAGCGTGCAGGCACCAGGGGCTTGGCGGCGGAGGGGCGGCAGGGCAGCTCGGCGAAGCAGAGCCCGCGGCGCTGCCCGTGCTTTGCCTGCTACCCCCCCCGGGGCCTGCTCGTTCCTCTCCAGGCGCAGGCTGCGCTGGGCGTCCACGGCCTGCGGCAGGGCATTCCGTCCCGTCCCGTTCAACTTGTTCCCAACCATCCTGTGGTGTTGGGTCCTCGTTTTGAAAAGACATCGCCCCGCGTTCCTCCTCCTCCTCCTCCTCCTTCTCTCTCCTCCTCCTCCTCGTCCTCCTCCTCCTCTCCTCCTCCTCCTCCTCCTCCTCCTCCTCCTCTCCTCCTCCTCCTCCTCCTCCTCTTCTCCTCCTCCCCCTCCTCCCTCCTTTTTCCCAACCATCCTGTGGTGTTGGGTCATCATCTGAAGAGACAGCGCCCCGCGTTCCTCCTCTCTCCTCCTCCGCCACCTCCCGCCTCCTCCCTCCTCCCATCCTGTTTCTGCATTCTCGCATGCCCATTTCGGCGCACCCCTCAAACGCTTCGTAGTCCCATAGACAGCTCCTCCGAAGGCACCAGTGGCAGGGTCAGCGTGCAGTTCCAACTCCATTTCGGCGCACCCCTCACACGTCTCGTGGCCCCATAGGGTGCTCCGCCGAAGGCCCCAATGGCAGGGTCCGCATGTAGTTCCACTTCAATTTCGGCGCACCCCTCACACGTTTCGTGGCCCCATCTGGTGCTCCGCCACAGGCCCTAGTGGCAGCGCCCGCATGCAAATCCACCCTTCGTTTCGGCGCACCCCTAACACGTGCCGTGGCCTCACATTGGGCTCCACCGACGGCTCCGGTGGCAACGTCCGCCTGGCGTACCTGTGCCAATTTTGGCACATCCGTCACACGCGTCGTGGCTCCATAGAGAGGTTCACCGAGGACGATACCCACAGCTGCGTTACTCACAGCTGCACATGGTTGGATCCTTCGCCCGTTTTTTTGTTTTGTTTTTGTTTTTGGTGTGTGTTGATCCAATGTGGGTCCCTGCTCGCTCTGAGCGGCCCGCCGTGCGCGCGCGCTCCTGCACGTTCCGTGACTGTCTCCGCCTCGTCACTGCGCGCGAGGCCGCGACCGCCGAAAAGCGTGCGTGCGTGCGTGCGTGCGTGCGTGCGTGTGTGTGTGTGTGTGTGTGTGTGTGTTTGTGTGTGTGTGTGTCGGCGCCTGTCTCGCCTGTGCCTGTCTCGCGCCACCGTTTGCTGGCTTGTCTGGCAGCTCTACAGTGCTTTTCTTTCAACTGGCTAATGAGCACCAGACTGCTGCCTGCGCTTCAATTCCTGGCGTTGAGCTACGCTCCGCGTGATTCTTGGCCGCTGCACTTTGGCTTTGCAGCGCCTCATTTTTTCACCACCACCACCACCACCAATCTACATGGCCATGGCTGGACTTTTTCATCACGGTGCGTTCGACTGAGTTCGTTCGCAATTGGTACCTCCATCTGCCGACCGCGGCTGAGGCTCCTCTGCGCCGCTGACTTAGAATGTGTGTGTGTACAAATGTATATACACACATATATACACATCTGTCCGGCACGGGGAAGTGAGGCCGATACATAATACAAAGGCGACATCGTGCTGCGATCGGGGGCATGAACTCTTTCTGAAGCCTCGGCCTGGCGCACACTTATCCTGGGTGAGCCGGGTGTTCTGAAGGTCTCACCTGCCCACACCCATCCGCTCTGGCTGTGGAGCCGGCCATGGGCGGCTCTTCCCGCCCTGGCGTCGCTGCCTTTTGGCCCCTTCTCCCTCGCTTCCTGCTCTCTCTCCTGTCCTGGATGCGCCAATGCATGTTTTTTGTAAGAGTCTTTACGTTTCTTGCCCCGCGACTTCGTCGCTTATACTTTACTGCGCACCACCCATGCGGCTTAGCCACCTTTAAAATGTCGGCCTTCTTTTTGCACCCTGCCCTTGTGATACGTGGCGTGCCCCACGCTGTAACCGGGTGTCTGCTGCCTTCTCTCGACTCTGTCGCCTTTGGCGGCGTCGTGCCTTCCGATCAGCTCTGCTGGCAGCCTCGCGACTTTCCCTGGGGTTTGTCGCGGGTTGTCTGGCTCTCTCTAGGGCCTTTGCAGATCGTGTGCGCCGCGGGCTGAATCTTCGCCTGTGTCGGAACCGTTGTGTTGGCGCCCGAGCAGCTGCGCGTCTCTTGCGCTTGCTGCTTGCTTTTCTGAGCGTGTTTCCTGGTCACCTGTATCTCCCCAGCTGCGCGCATCTCTCGCGTCTGGTAAGTCCAGTGCACGACTTCAGTCTGCTGCCACGGCCGATCTCTGCTGCGCTACGGCTCGGCCGCTTATCGCCTCGCCCGCCGTTGCTCCTTTCGCTCTCCTCTTGTTCTCTTTCCCCTTCTTCCCCCGGCCGCTTCGCGTCACCCCACCAATCGGTTAGTCTGGCCTACAGGCTCTTTCCGCTGTCTATCATTGCCAGTGCGGTTGTTCAGTGGCACTCAGCGCCGAGTGTTTTGCGCTTCAGGTCACCTTCAGTTGAGCTCTGGAGGGTTGGTGACAAGCTTGTTCCTTAGCCACTTGCAGCATGGTCTTGCCGTTCAGTCTCACGTGCAACCGATGCGGCCACCCGGAGCCGACTGGGGCGGCCTGCCGCTGTCTTCTTGGATGCGCCGAAGAGGGGGCCAGGAAGAGGAGAATTGATGTCTCGAGGCACGTGCGCTGACGAGTCGGGGGCAGGGAGTGTATTGAAAGACGAAGAAGAGTACGCGTGAAGATAATGACACTAATGATACGAATGACACTACTACTACTACTACTACTACTACTACTACTACTACTACTACTACTACTACTACTACTACTACTACTACTACTACTACTACTACTACTACTACTACTACTACTACTACTACTACTACTACTACTACTACTACTACTACTACTACTACTACTACTACTACTACTACTACTACTACTACTACTACTACTACTACTACTACTACTACTACTACTACTACTACTACTACTGTACTACTACTACTACGCACTACTACTACTACTACTACTACTACTACTACTACTACTACTACTACTACTACTACTACTACTACTATACTACTACTACTACTACTACTACTACTACTACTACTACTACTACTTATACTACTACTACTACTACTACTACTACTACTACTACTACTACTACTACTACTACTACTACTACTACTACTACTACTACTACTACTACTACTACTACTACTACTACTACTACTACTACTACTACTACTACTACTACTACTACTACTACTACTACTACTACTACTACTACTACTACTACTACTACTACTACTACTACTACTACTATACACAATCATAATTCTAGTATCAGTAATGGCAATGACGATAAACTATGTTAATGATAGCAGTAAAAATGATCATCGTATTCTTGTGTGGAACAAGCAGATTGCCAAGACGAAACATACCAATCATGCTACAAACAACAAGAATAACAGCAAACCACATCATACTACTACTAACAAAATACTAATACGGTTGATATCAATAATATTACTACGAATGATCGAACTACTAATACTAGTAGTACTACAACTATTTAGACGCATTGTCATAAGACTAACGCTCACAAAATAATGATATTACTAATAAACCTGAGAATGATAAGAAGAAGCCATGACGTCTCGGCGATTTCATGGCCCAAGCCATGATGTCCACCCCCCCCTTGTCCTCACCCGCCTCTGCGACGCCCTCGAGTTTTGGAGCTCTTGTCGAGATCTGCCAGTCGTCCCTGGGCCGCCCGACAGAGGCACGATACTTGCAGAAGGGTGTTCACATTCCGAAATCTTCTCGCACGCCAAGCTCGACTGTCACTCGAAGGCCAGCTGACTGAGGTCGCGGCCGCAGGCACGGACTCGTCGAGCATCACCTCCGCTGGTGTGTCGGTGTTCTGGTGTGCTGGCTGTCCCAGTTCGTGGTCGAGCACCATCTCGGCCTTGTCTGATTGGGGAGCCAGAAGCACAAAGCCCTACATGGGCGCAGACCCCCGATGCCCCGAACAAATTGAGAGGGAACATTGTGGCAATTTTCGGCTTTCCGATCGTTGCACGTGGTGCGACAGTAGCGGCCTGCGTGTTTGGGTTTCGCCCCCCCCCCCCCCCGCCCCTCTCTCCCTCCCTCCCCGGCGCTCCCCGAAAAGGAAGCCGCGCGCCAAAGGTCCCCAGACATCCGATGCTATATGACTTTTTCGAGTGCGGGGCCCCTGGACGCCCGACCCGTTGCCTGAGGCATTTGTTCCATCTCGAGTTGTTTTCTGGCAGCCCCGTGGCCTGGCGATGGCCCCAGAAGGCGCTGACAACTGTGAGAAAGTCGCTGCCCGGATCCCTCCCAAACGTTGGATGCCCGTCGCTCTGGCCCAGGGCCCCTCTCTTGTGCAAGACCAACGCGAGGCGGGCCCCAGGCACTGGACGCTGCGACTTTTTTCCTGACGTGGACACCTGGAGGTCTGTACGCCTTCCCAGGACCCGTCTTTTATTCTGACTCATTTTTTGACGGTCCTGGGGCCACGTGAGGGCCCCGAGAAGCCAAAAACGGCCAAGAAACTCGCGCCGTTTTCTTTTTTGTTTGTGCGTTTTCTTGTTCCGCGACGCGGGCATGTCCGGGCAGGTGCCCCCCCCCCCCGAACACCCTCGCCCTGTCGCGGTCCGCAAGCGGCTTTGCCCCGCAGAGCTTGGCCGGCCCAGGCCTGAGCGATGGCGGCCGCCAGGCCGGGCGGCTCGTGGAGGGCACTGGTCCTCGGGCGGCACAAGAGACATGTACGGTCAGAGTCAACGGCACGGATCGGCAGCACGGGACACGGGGCGGCGCACCCAGATCCCTGACGACCTGATTTTTGCAATCCCAGCGTCTTTCCTGGATTTCGGCCTCTGGGGCACGTTGTCGGGCGCCAGGGCCATCGGAAATGGGTCCAGGACGGAAGACTACCCTGGGTAAAGGGTCGGGACCTCTGGAGCAGCGGATTGAAAGGATCATGTAGGAGGATGTCTGGGCAGGGAAGCGGGCGCCCCCGAAAGAGACTTGCCATGACGGGAAAGGGTCCTGAGGGAACTGGGTCCTGGAAGCGTATGACCGTTTTCGAGCTCTCCGGGCTCTCTCCAGGCCCAGGGACCGTCAACACAAAAACGACTCAAGATGAAGAACTCGTCGGGGGAAGGTCCCAGGGTCCAGGACTCATTTCCTTCATGCCAGCGGGCGGGTAGCAGCAAGAACGAGGCACGGACGCCAATATCCGTTGCAAGGCCATTAGCACCGTCCACACGGCACCACCAGGGCAGACACGAGAAATCGCAGCCACTGAGGCGCCAAGAACGACAAGCCTTTCAGCACCACCCATAGGGCACCAAGGCAAGAACAAGAACTCGCGATCATTATCCACGCATCACAGTGCACCAGCCGCAGGGCACCGCCCCTTGAGTACCATGGCGCGAGCGAGAACCTGCGACTAGATCCTCAAATTTCGCTCAAGCCAAAATGCGATCTACTTAGAACGAATACTCTTTGTGGAATATAAACATGTCTTTACTCATGTATACATACATGCCCAAGAAAGCCCAACAAGACGGAATCAACTATTCCAAAAGAGGCCCAGGAGGCCCGCAAGAGGCGCTCAAGGCGCTTCCCGAACGCCCCTAAGAGGCTCCAGATGCCCCCTTCAAGGGTGCAACGCTATGTACTCATGGCGTGACTCATTCTCCTGTCTTCAGCTCCTCCTCCCCTTCCTCCTTCTCCTCCTCCTCCTCCTCCTCCTCCTTCTCTTCCGCCTCCCCCTCCCCCTCCCCCTCCCCCTCCTCCTCCTGCTCCTTCTCCTCCTTCTCCTCCTCCTCCTCCTCCTCCCCCTCCTCTTCCTTCACCACCTCCAGCTGGCTGCACCACGCTGCATCACACAACCTCGACAGCACCCCTCCGTCCTGTTCAGCTCGTCGCTCCACTGGGAGTCGCTGCCCGCGGTGGGGGGGAGGTCGGTGCTTGAGGGGTCGCCAGGCAGGATGTCGTCCAGGTTGGCCTCCGACGAGGGGTAGCTCAACCTCCTCGTGGGGCTGCCGCCCCAGCGCAGGCGCAGGGCATCGTCGGCGTACGCTGGCGGCCACTGGGCACCCGCGTCCGCCTGGCCAGGGGCGGGGAAAAAACACACACTGTGGGAAACAAAACGCACATCTGTGGGAGAAAAACGCACACAACTGTGTGTGTGTGTGTGTGTGTGTGTGTGTGTGTGTGTGTGTGTGTGTGCGTGCGTGTGTGTGTGTGTGTGTGTGTGTGTGTGTGTGTGTTTTCCCACGCTGGGGGGGGGGCGACGCGGCCAGCTCTCCCCCGCTGCCCTACGGTAGTCGTAGCCTCCCCGTCCCCCTTCCTCGCCCTCTCTCCCCTCGGCCCGCCCTCCGCAGCCGCCGCTGAGGGGGAATGATAGCGGGGGGGGGGGGCTCAGGCGATGGGGGGTCGACGCATCCCACCTGAGCGTATCCCTCCCTGGCTTAACCCCCTGAACCATGCTGCTCCTCGCCACTGCGTGCGGTCGGCTCCCTGATCGGACACGCGCGGCAGTGGCAAGGACGTTTGTGGACGAGTCGCGCCCATGAGACGAGACGTGGAGGGGCGTCCCAGGGCGTCAGCAACGTGGCAGGTCATCGGCAATAAGTTCCTGCCAAGGGCATTCGGTGCATCAAAGCCATGAAATTGTCTATTCCACCACCGTGTCGTCGTTTTCAAAAAAGTGTTTCTGTACTTTCCGGCAGGATGCGGGCGCATCGTGGGCGATTTTTCAATCATTCACGTGACCAAACAGGCGTTCAATGCCCTCGCAAACATCCCCTGAATGGCGACTCGATTAACACGGGCCCCCGAAACTCTCGACCCCTTCCACACAACAAGCTCTTCATCCTGAGCCGTTCTGTGGCGGTCCCGGGGCCGCCCGAAACCAGCCCCTAGAGGCCCAAGACTGTAAAAAACTGGCGGCCCGCTTGTGGAGTTTTTCCTCCTTCGAGATGACGCTCAATCCTCGAACCTCGAATTTCGCCAGGAGCCCTGCTGAGGGGGAACGATAGGGGGACTGGCTCAGGGGGAAAAAAGATCGACCTGGAATCGGCGATACATCGCCGCTACATCGGCGATGAACACCCGATAGCGAATCCGCGCGTTCGTGGGCGGGCAGGGCTATCGGGCCCCTAGCCGCGATCAGTGGGTGATCGGGGGCCGATGCGTTCCCCCCTGAGCCGATTGCCGCCTGGACGCTGCCGCTGCGAACCTCGAATCTCGCAAGGCACCTGCTATAACACCCTCCTCCCTCCGAGCGAGCCTTCCGCTACTTGAGCTGAACTGGCTACGCAGGAGGAGGATGAGGAGAAGGAGGAGGAGGAGAAGAAACGATGAATGACGACGACGACGATGCTAATACTGATGATGATGCTGATGATGACGTGGCTGATGGGGATGATGATGGTGGTGATGATGACGATGATGATGATGATGAAGTGATGATGGCGATGATGGTAATGACGATTACGGTGATTGTGATGAGGGTGATGATGATGTGGATGATGATGCTGCTGCTGCTGATGATGATGATGGTGAGAAAGGATGATGCTGCTGCTGATGATGATGCTGATGCTGATGATGATGATGATGATGATGATGATGATGATGATGATGATGGGGGAAGGGAAGGGGAAGGGAAGGATAGGATGATGCTGCTGCTGCTGATGATGATGATCATGCTGATGGAGGAGATTCTCAAACTACCCCCTGTGACTGCAGCCCACACACGCGAGGTTCCGATTTTCCAATACGCGGTCCACAGAAGTCCCGACCCTTTCCCCGGGACCGGCTTCTCGCCCGGAGAAACCTTTTTGAAGGTATGTATGGATTTATGCATGTATACATGTATGCGTGTATCTGTATGTGTGTGTGTGTGTCTCTCTCTATATATATATGTCCCCACCCGCATATGTTCTACCAGAAAAAGATCGTCTGTATTGAGAACGGCGGGCTGTGGCCGCCGAGAGAAACCCACAGCGTGGAGGTGCATGCGAACGCCCAGCAGAAATCAAGGTGGGACCCCTTAAGAGTTGAAGTCCGTTAGAAGCAGGAGGGGAGGGAGGAGGACAGCTTGAGATAAGTGTCAGCAACAAACTTACATTGACGGCAAAGGGTGGCTCGGAACACGGATGTTTGAAAACGCAGCCATGCCCCCACCCACATGTTTTCTTCAAGAGAAACATTGCCTGTGGTGAGAGCGGAAGGCTGTGCCCGCCGAGAGAAGCCCACACCGTGCGCGTGCATGCGAATGGCCAAATACCAATACCTGACTTCTGGCCAGCACAGGCTTCGCATTACAAATGCATATCATATTCTCGAAATGGATCTGGTCCGCGGCACGGGACAACCAGAGGGCCATGGCCCTGGCCGCGGCACTCGGATACGGTCCAGCCAGAGAAGTTCAATGGCGCCAGCAGGGCGCCTTGCCTTGTAGTGCATTATGGGGACGACTGGTGAGAGAGCACACGATGCCCGAGATGCGGGGCCTGCGAACGAGAGCGAGTGGCGGTGGCGCACAATGCCAAGCCACGAGGCGGGTGCTTTTTCTCGACCGGGTCCCACTGGCACAGCAGTCAAAGGCGGTAGTGTTACAGACGGGTAGAGTCATAGCGTGGGCGAGGGTGTTTTTTTTTGCCACACCAAACTGGGAAGCGGATTCTCCAGAGCGACTGGCGAATAGCATTGGATATCATTGGATATCTGAACCAGATGATACCGAGCTGGGCTTCTGGCGCGGGCAGCAGGGTCGAGGTCAGGGTGTCCAACAATGTTCGCGGCTGTGACGACCGCGACTCGCGACCGACCGCGTGCTACAAGAGGGGGCGATCCAGACTCCCCGCACAGCCCCGGCTCCCATCCAACCCACGAGAATTCTAATGATACGGGCGTGGGACAGACCCAATCAGGGGGCGAGGCGCACGTCGATCCGAACAATCCCAAATTCGCCGAAAGTTTCCAGTTCGCTCGCGACGACGCCACTATCTGAGAACAGATCAAAATAAAGTAAAGCACGCGACTGGCCCTTGCAGGCCTCATCAAACAAGTATTGTACTCGCTTTCTCAGAGAGGCAAGTGCTACAGTATCTGCCTGACCGAACGTGTCGCCAGTGGCTCTCGCCATGCCCTTGGTGGCCGTGGGGGCGGAGCTGGCAGCTGGCCTTGACCTTGCAGCGCCTGCGCTCAGCGCGCCAACACCGCGCTGCCGAACGTCGCCGCGCCCGACAGCGCCTTCTCCAACCCGGCCGAGTAGCGAGCCGCGCGGCCGTACCGCGGCGGCGGCACCAGAGGAGATCTCCGCAGCTGCAAGGGGTCGCTCGGCAGGTGAACGGCGTCCCAGGCCAGGCTCAGTGCGTCGGCGACCACCAGCACGTGGCCCAGCATCGTGAGCCCAATGCGGCAGAAGAGCGCCTAGCGGCCCAGCGGCATCTTGGTCCGAGCCAACGGCGCGGCGCGGCGCCACTCGAGAGCGGCCTGGGCGCCCGCCAAGTTGCCCCCCGCGGCCGCGGAGGGCCGGAAGTGGCGGACGGCAATGACCCCCTTCAGGCCAGTCTCGGCGGTGAGCCCGTTGTTCCATATCTTGCCAAAAAAACTCGCTCAGCGCGCGGCCGATGTCCCGTGTCCACGATCACCCCGTGGGCCAGGCGCCAGTCGATGGACTTCTGGCGCGAGCGCGCGAAGTGCACGTTCGCGGAGCAGCGGATTTTTCGGGCCAGGAGGAACGTCAGCGCGGTGCCCGCGGCCAGCATCAGAAGGCTCTGCTGGGCGGCCGTCGTCTTCTTCCATGAACGGGCAAGAGCTGCTGTCCGACTCGTCTTGCCGGCAGAGGCCCCCGCGCAGGTGCCCGAAACCGCTGGCGGCAGGGGCGGGCGCGAAAACGTCGCCGATGCAAGCGACGCCAGCCCCTCGGGGCGACGGCCCGCCTCGGCGGCGAGGGCCTCCGCAGCGGCTCGCCATGCTACTTCGTCGCCGCCGACTGCCTGGTGGGGCGCCCCCCGAAGAACCGGGGGTTCTCTCGAGCGTGCCGAGCCCGGCCGGCACGATATCTTGAAGGGGCATCTGCGGGGTTCGACTCCGAGGGGCGACGAAGTTGATGTTGGCGAAGATAGCGATGGCAGCGAGGCGCCGCGCTGGTGCGTTGAGCAGTGGCACCGACGATCGCCCCTTACCAGCAGCCAGCGCCATGCCCATGTGATCCGGGAGCAGCGGCAAGCGACGACCAGTGACTGGCAGCATTGCGAACGAAGTGTCGAATCCCCATGAGCAAGGCCTTTCCTTCCAGTGAAATAATATCGGCCTTTCGATAGACATGGAATTTGCCGCAGAAGCGCAGTTTCCAGTCCCGTTGAGATCCCATATATATAAACAAATGTTCCAATCTCGTACAACTCCAGCCTCCCATCCCAAGATGCGGCGCACCGATGGCATGGCGCATTGAAGGAAGAAGGATGCTTCTGCGCAGCAGTCTCTGTTGGACCATCCTCGAGCCCGAGAGCAGACGCTCGGGCCCCTAGAAAATCAAGCGTCTTGAATCGCCGCCTCTCGCTCAGCTGCGAAGTGCTTGTGACGGGCGAGGCGACGACCTTGCGGCTCGCAGCGCCAAGACCTCCGAAATCGTGCGTCGCGGACTCGCCTCCGGACGCGCCGGTGGCCGCCGCGGTCGAGGCCGAGGGGCGGCGCGGGTCCGCGAAGGCCATCGCCGCGAGGGCCGCCCCCAGCCTGAGCTCGTGTCGCACCGAGGCCTATGGCCGCCACGCCTGCTCTCCAGCCGTCTTGGAGAACCAGTGGCAAGCGCCGAGCGCGGCCGGCAGCGGGCGGCGGGGCATGGCCGCCCGCGCGCAGTGGCCGAGCAGCATGCGCACCTGGGCCCCGGTCAGCCTGTCGGCCTCAACGGAATGAAATGCGGCCCGTCGCCCGCTCGAGCGTGAACCTGGTGAAGAGCCGCTCGTCGCGCGGCCTCTCCGTGTCCTTTGTCGCCGGGCCCGCGGCGTGACGGGCGGCGCCCGCAGCGTGGCAATCCTTTTCGACCTGCTGGCCGTTGGCGCGGACCACCGCAACCCCGTCGGCGTAGGCCGCCGCGGCCGTCTGCCCGCCAACGGGGTCGCCCGCTTCTCCTCGGCGATGCGGCGGGCTTCTCCCAGCTCGACAGAGTAGCCAGGCTCGCTGGCGCGCGGCGCTCGAAAGGCCGCCGCGCCCGTCGCAGAAGAAGCTCCGATGCTTTGAACTGCGGCCCGAACATGCTCAGAACCAGAAGTTTGCCTCAGAGTGGGCGGCCGATCAGCTGGGCCACCTTGGCCGTGAAAACAATTCAATGCGTGGTGCGCCTCCTCGCGCCGCTCTTCGACTTGTTGATGGCGGCGGGCGCGAGGTCGCACCGTGCGGCAGTAGCTGGAGATGGGCTCCTCGCCGCTGCAGCGCTCCTTAGGGAGCGGCGTAGGCAGCAACTCCCGAGGCGCAGGCATCCCGATGGCCGCTTGCCTCCGCGGCCGCCATCGCAGCTGCGCTCGGGGTTGCCCTTCCCAGGCGCAGCCTGCAGGAACCGGCGAAGCGAGGCTCCACCTTCTGTCGCGGGGCATCCTTCGTGTCGCCGTCGACCCCCTGGGCCCGGGCCAGCTGCCGCTCTTCCCTCAGCTCGCGCTTCTCCTTCATCACCTGGCTCTCGCGATAAACGTCTGATGACGTATGCTTTGCCAGGGCTGGGGCCACTATGATGAGCCCCTCGTCTCGCCCGTCTTCATGCACAGGTGCTCGTCCTCGGTCGTATCGCCAGCATTCTTGGGTGCTAATCCTTCTCGATGCCCCGCCATCAGTTCGAGATTGGCGAGCTCTCCCACAATGATCTGATCGCAAACCACTGCAAACTCGCACGCTCTCACCGACATCTCGAGGCCTGTCGCCCCCGGGTCCGTCGCGGCAAGCCCCGTCCCGTGGAGCCACTGGGCGCGCCAGGCCTGTGGGTGGCAATCCTGCTCCGAAGTGAACCGACGACCCCATCCCGTCGTGCACGGGCCTGGCCAGGGCCAGCCCGGCCACGCAGTCTCGGCCGCCTCCGGGACGGCGTCGCGGCACAACTTCTCGCGCACCCCCTCGCTATCCTTGGCCGCGTCTGCCAGCCTGTCGTCGCCCATCGCTTGGATCGGGCCCTCTTTCGGGAACAGCGCTATCAGCATGCGCGCCCTGGTCCCCACGATGGCGATGGCCACCAACCATCTCAAGGACTTCACGTTGGGCAACGTGTCAATGCCCGTCTGAATATTCGCCAAGACCGCCACTCCAACCGCTGCTCGACCCGACGACTTCATGGGGCCCTTGCTGGACAGGTGCCGCTCGGGGTCGCTCCTCAGCACCCATTCTTACCAGCATTCACTTGCGACGGTGGTGCTCCTCCTGTCCTCCGCCTCCTCCTCGTCTTTCTTCTGTCTCTCTCTCTCTCTCTTTTGTTTCCCTCTCTCCCTCTTTTTTTTGTTTCTCTCTCTCTCTCTATATATATATATATCTCTCCCTCTCTTTGTCTGTCTGTCTGTCTCTCTCTCTCTCTCTTTTTCTCCTCTCTCTTTCTCTCTTTCTCTCTTTCTCTCTTCCACACACCCAACACAATCCCAATGAAAACATAAGGTTTGCGATGTCAGGGGTGTGGACACCTGGTGTTTTCATTTGGATGTTTGGTATTTCTGCCATGAGAAGTGAGGAAACCATGTGTTTTCATTTTCTTTGTTGTTGGCTGTTTGTTGTTGTCAGTTGTTGTCGTCGTCGTTGTCGTCGTCGCCGGTGTTGTTGTCGTCGCTGCTGCTGTTGCCATTGCTGTTGTTGTTGTTGCTGCTGTGGTTGTTGTTGTTGTTGCTGCTGCTGTTCTTGTCACGATGCGGGAGTGTCTGGGATTGGAGTCGGATCTCGTCAGGAACCCCGCCAGATAATCTCTGCTTCCGAGCGAGCCCTGGCCACCCGCTGGTCGGGGCTGCACCATCCAGATCCGGACGAGAGGAGGGAGCAGGACAGATGAAGGAGGAGGGGGAGGAGGAGGAGGAAGAAGGAAGCGAAGGATATGCCACTTCTGGCGACGACGCATGGTGCACGAACGAGCATATCAGAATGAGAGGGCCGCAAGAGGACAATCATAATCATAATCAGCTTGCGGCCGCGCTGGTAGTTTACAGTTGGATGCTCCAGCGTGTGGAGGAGGAGGAAAGATGAATGACGAAGAGGAGGGAGGAAGAGGGGGGGACAGGAGCGATTCGCAAACTGTCCTCTCAGGCTGCATTGGAGCCAAACCTCGCCAAGATCTCTCGAACTGGGAGGCAGAAGGGCTTGGAGGCGGCCGGGGGGTCTGAACTCGATGGGACCTGAGAAAACGGGTCAAGCAGGGTGGAGATGGGCAGCTCCGCTCAAAACGGGTCCCCGGACCCCTCCCCGGGTCCATCTGACTCAATGCTTCACCCTGAGTGCGTTTTCGACAGTCGAGACAGGTAACACACAAACATCGAACCCAGAACCGCGAACAAGGCGCCCCCCCCCTTCCTGCTGGCCGAAACCAGTGCCGGGGCCACCTCAGACTCCCAGCTGGCTCCAAGGAGGAACCTCTGAGCCGGGGGGCCTTCGGCCGCACGAGCTGGGCACCCGGAGCCCCGGCCGCCTGCTGGTCGGAGCCGCACCCCCCGCGGCCCTGCCCCACCGGGCTGCCGCCCGCCGCGTCCCCCACGTGCACGTCCGAGCCCGCCGGGCTGCCTCGGGGGGCTTTGGGACCTCCGACGATCTGCATAGCTTCAGTCAGGGAAGGTCCTGGCATCGTTTCGGCGCTCCCGGGCTCCGGGACCATCACAAGCGCGGATCCGGGAGGGAAGCCTGCTCTCTCGGGGGAGCGGTCGGAACCTCGGGGGCCGCAGGTGGAACACATCAGATCGGCTGACGTCAGGGGTTGGGGCGGAAAGACTGGGGGTTTCGGGAGGACGACGGCCCCGAGAACTCCGCCCACTTCTTTTCGTCGTGAGAAGATCGCGACGGACAATTTTTGACCGTTTTCGGCCTTTCGGTTTTCTCGCAAGGACCAGACCTTCAAAAAACGACCCGGGATGAAAAAGCCAGACGCGGGGAAAAGGTGTATACATCTGGGGTCCGCGTCACGAAAAAACACGATTTCGGAGTTCTCTGTCTGGCCGGATGCTTTCGCCGGGTCCTAGAAGTTTTCCAACCTCGAGGTGCTTTTCAGCAGCTGTGCCTCGCCGGGAGCCTTCCCAGGGTGCCCCGCTCGTCCTGAGCTGCCGCTGGAGGCCAAAGTTAAGCCAGAAGGCCAGACCTCTCGGCGCGTGGGACAGCACGGGGCCAGGGAAGAGGGGGTCATCAGCGAAGCAGCTCACGTAGCTGCCTTTTCCTGGCGCCTCCTGGTGCCGGATGCGTCCGCGTATCGAGCACAACGCCCTGCGACGGGGCCGAAACCGATTGCACGCAGCAGATTTCGTAAGCCCCCCTTTCCCAGTCCCCCCCTGTCGTCCGACCCGAGCCTCGAGGCTCAGTAGCCAAAGCGGCTTCGAGAACCTCGGCCCTGATTTGGGGGGCCCCGCCCAAGTGTACAGCGTCGTGAACAGAACCAGGACGGAAGAGCGAGCAGGGCCGCGCGCTCCGCTCGGACTGATGGGGCGAGGGAGGGCTCGAGTCGGTCGAAGGGGGTGGTCTCCTGAGAAAGAACTCGCAAGCTCTTGGGAGAGCACAAGACGCGCGTCATGTGTGTGTGTGTGTGTGGGGGTGGTTGGGTGGGTGGGTGGTCGGGGTCGTTGGCATATACCGCAAAACTTCCGTGCCCGGCCACCTGGGTTGTTATTGCTGACGAGGTGCAGGGGGCTTCTTAGCCCCGCCCTCCCTGCCTTCTGAAAAGCCCTCGATCCCACCCAATATGCACACCAGCCTTGTGAGAGGACCGCCCCCCCCCCCCTTCCCTTCGCCCCGCCCCCCGTTCGCGCCGCCTGCATGGGGGGAGGAACGGGATCGGGATTCAGAGGGCGAAGGGGTGGGAGAAGGACGTCCTGATGGCCTGATGCCCTCCTGGCCCTGGCCACAGGTCTGGGGGCCAAGAACTTTCCAACCCAGTCATCCGATGCCTTGTTTTTTCACTGCGGGGTCCCCGGAGGTCCCCCGACCCTTTCCCTCGGAGGTCAGCGCGGACTTCGTGGATCTGCGCTGGACCCCCGTCCATGGCGAGCGGAGCTGAAATCGTCTGGCGGCTCATCTTCGGCGGGGGTAGAGGGGGCGAAGACGATGTGTCTATCTCAAGGCACCTTGAGGAACATACCCGGTTCTCTGGAAGAGCCCAAAATAAGCCCAAACCAAATCGCTATATGCAGCGCGCACTGACTTGCCTGATCAAACCCGGAGGGGGGGGAGAAGTGGGGGAACACGAATGCAGCGGGACTACTTGTAGCGGGTTTGACAACACCTGATCTAATGTCTGAGCCCGTGAAGTCCCCTCTAGACCCTGAACCCAGCAATAGAGAGAGAGAGAAAGAGAGAGAGAGAGAGAGAGAGAGAGATAGAGAAAGAGATTCCCCAGCCTCCTGCCGCAACGCCCGCCTGTACGCCATCCTCGACGTGCACTTCAGGTCTGTATTCAGCGCCCGTTCTGACATGTGGCTTTCCTCGTCCACCAGAGAAATGGTTCCGTAACGCCAAATTGCCTCGGGCCGGGTCAGCTTCCATAAGCGGGTCAGCCGCCATGCGACCCTGATGGGCCCGATGCATTTGTCTTCCCATTGAAGTCAGCCCGTCCCGAACCGCAGCGAGCACTATAGAATTACTCCTATCGAGCCTGGACCCCGCGCTGTTCTTCGATCGTGCATCGAACATGCTCTTAGCGGCGCGGCTACAACAAAGACGGATGAACCACCCTGCGACAAGATGATGTAGAGTCTCAACGCAGCTTCCAAGACAATGGCGACTGGTTCACGAACCAGTCAGGCACAGAGACATCGCTGACAACGACATCTCTCTACAAAACTTGAAGCCAAGGTGCTTCGGCCACAGCGGACGAGAGGGGCAAGGTCTCCGCGGCCCGGGTCGAGGCGACCACTCTCTTCAACCTCTGCGACCTCCATGAGATCAGGGGCGCGCGAGCCCGATGATTCGATCTGATCTCCTGATCGGCGGCCAAAGCTAAACCAGCTCCCTGCGCGCCCCCTCGGCGGGCGGACCCGCCCCCCCCCCCCCCCCCCCGCGTCGGAAGCCGTTGCGAGCGTCGGCGAGAGAGGATCAATCAGTCGGGGCGTGAGATTCTGGCCCGCCAAGCTCTCTTCAGGTGCCTGCATGCTCCGATCGTCCCTGGCCGTGGGCGAAGGCACAGCGGCGCTCTGGAATGGGGCACCTCCCGCCGCATCTGGGCGCGTCTCTCTCGCGACCCGCTGTATCTGAGCCGCCGCAGGACTGGCCTCGCGATGCTTCTCAAGCTTCATTGGAGCCAAATGCTCAAGAATGTATTTCTCCTGGTCGACTTGTATCCTAGATCCTACCTGCTAATTCTGTCTCCCGGCATCGTCGGCCTCTCCATAATTTGTCCGAAGCAAGCCGCGACGTCAGAGTACAATGCCAGAGCAGGGGGGCCTTGTTCAATCCATAACCGCGGGCCACTAAGTCGATCAGCCCCCCCTGGAGAGTCCTTGGCAAGGCTCGCAGCGCGCGGCCCCTCGATGCCTCTCGAGCCCGTCCGACTGGCGAAAACGATTTAGGCGTCCGCGTTTTTCCAGCTTCCAACCGAGCGAGGCAATGGCCTGGGGGGTCATCATAAGTCTTGCCCCCTGGGGGGTGGGGGCGTATGTGCTTAACCCTTCCGCGTCGGGGCCCTGGTGTTCTTGCGCGCGCCACCTGGGCTTGGCAGTCGGAACCGTGCCCTCGCTCTCTTGGGGCTTGAAACGTCGCGCCGATCCTCGACTCTGGGATTCGGTGCGGGAGCCTGCGGCGCACCAGTCTGGCCTCGTCGGCCCCGGCCGCGCGCCGCTTTGGATTCCCGTGGCACTCCACTCCGCCGCGTCCGAATTGTTAAACAACTTTCTCTTCCCTTTGGTAACGTGCTCCATCGCGACCTCGTCTCCCCAGGGAACCGTGAGGGCATCTTCGACGGCCCCAATCCAACCGTCCGAATCGAACCCGTACCACCAACAAGTCTTGGTCCACGCGTATATCTTCCTCGAATCCGACGTCTGAATCGCTCGCGTCTCTATCCCCGAAACCGTCGGGATCTGCAATACCAGGCGTCGATGTTCGGCATGCCATCTCGGTTTCCACGTGGGAGGTACACTACCATAGATGGGCCGTATCGGGAAGGAAATTAGGCCTGGGGCGCTCGGGTGGCTCCGGCGGCCGCAAGCGCAGGGGGCGTCATGCAAAAGCTTGTCCTGAAGCGCTCCGTCCGCTCTGCTCATGCTCGCGGGTCATGCCTCTAACTCGGTCTGGGCCGAGCGGTGTCTCTTCGGCTGGGGTCAGACGAGGGCGAAGGGGGGGGGGGGGGGGGGAATGAAGCGGTTCCGACCTGGGTCGCCTCGCTGGCATCTCGGTGTGTCTCGAAACTTGTCTGTGAGTTGCTCGGGGGCCGTGGCGGGTGGGGCTCATCTCTTGCGAGCCGGAATGGAGGGGGGACTCCGGTGGCCTGGAGTCCGAAGATGGAGTGGGAGAGGTAGGCGAGAACTGAAGCTGATGCTGCTCGGCCCTCTCGTCGGAGATCACCCGGGTCTCTGTCTTTTTTTTTTGGGGGGGGGCTTCAGCAGGAGAGACATGAAATATTCAGATCCATCAGGGAGGGATCTGGGGCAGGAGGCTGGTGAACTGGAAGAACGGGCCCTCTCTCCTGAAGCTCCTCCTCGGGGGTTCCCCTGCCTCGAGGGGTGGGCTGCCCTCTGACTCGACATCGACGGCTCGAGCTCGCTTGGCTGGGTCCTGGAGGTCCTCTGTCAGGCTGTCAAACATTTGGGTGTCTGACAGTTCGGCTCGCAGGGGTTCCTCTTATGGCCCGATGCAGCTGCTCGGTGCTGCACTTGAGCAAATTTGTCAAGGCCATCCCCGCGGAGGTTCCGTGCTAAAAAACCACGGCCCCCAGACCGGGCCACTTGTTTTTCTGCGAGACATGCGACCGCTGTCTCGCCGTCAGAGGCCCCCATGCGTAGACCCAGGACACTGGGGGGGCACTTCTCCCGACGAGCTTCCTGGGCCTGGCGGCGTATTTTTTCACGCATGCCCATGGTCATCGCTGCCTTTGTCGCTGTCTCTCTAGACTGATGCTTGCGGGTGAACGCGGCGGCCGCCGCGTCTCCGTCGGTGGCGCCGCGGGCCAGGTCACGTCAGCCATCTGGTAACGGCAACTGCGGAAGCTTCGAGTTTCTCCTAGCGCCAGTTGGCAAGGAGAGCGGACCAGGGACAGGCAGCAGTAGCTGACTCCATCAGCGCACAAGTCTGGTAAATTGTGCCATGGCGGACAGCGTCGAACACCAGGGAGGTGGTGCAAAGTATGTCCATAAAAAATCGGCGACTAGTCGCATATTAAGTCTGTATGTCCTAAGGGTCTGGAGTGGGAGTGGCGCGCGGAACAGACGCATGAATTCCTGGTCCACGCGGCTATCTCTGGCTTGGCCTTAGCAATTTTCAGCGCCCTCGGAAGACTTTCCAGGCGCGGGTGCCGCCAGTTGGCGTGCAGCTTATGCAACTCGGCCTGCGCTTCTTTACAACATTCGAAACCGATTCTTTCGAGACTGGAGGCGCGGCCCTGGGCCTGGGGGTCTCCAGCTCGGGCTCTTCCCCGTCGGGCTCGATGTCCACGGGGCCTTCGTCCAGGACCTCAGGAAAGGGAGTGGGCGATGGGCGTGGGGACTTGAGACGAACGCTGACAGGGCTCCTGCCCGCAGCAAGAAGTCTGAATGCCGTCGGTCTCGCCTGTCGCCAGGGGTCGCGGGCGACCGAGAGGTCCCGGCGGAGGTCTCTATCTTCTTCTTGAGTGCCGCCGACGCTCCGCTCGTCGAAGTCTCCGGCATGTCGTCGCTGGAGCTTACTGGGCGGCTGCGCCGCTCGTGGGCGTGAAGGGGCCGCGGAGGGGCAGAGGCCTCGACTGTGCCTTTTCGAGACCTTTGACTTTAGCCCTCCTGCGCATTCGAACGACTGAACGAAGAGGGGGGGAGGGGGAGGGGGGCTGCTTCAACCTGCCCTGTCAACCCCTTCCGTCCTCGGAGGCCGGGCCGTCCGCCCCCTCGAACTCTTGCTCGTGCTTCGCGAGGCAGGGGGGACTTGCTGGTTAGCTCTGGCGCGAGGCCCCACTCCGGGCAGTCCAAGTCGATCATCGGGGCGGAGCAGTGGCCGGTCGGGGGGCGCGTCGCGGGAAGCTGCTTCCCCTGCGGGCCCACCTTGATCGCGTTCTTCACCAAGTCGATCAGACCGCGGATGAACTCGAGCAGCTTCGCCGGAAGGAACGGCGGGCGTGCGCGAAGCGGCGTCGGGAACTCCGACGCGCCGCAGCCGTGAGGCGTCGGCGGTGCGAAACCCCGTGCGACTGTCCTGACGCCCCCTCCGACTCCGTTTGTCGCGGAGAAGTCGTCGTCCTTGGTCGCTTACTTCGCGTGGATGACGCGCCCCCTGGCCGCGAACGCCTCGGTCATCCTCTCCAAATCTGGCTTCCCGACGAGCGCCCAGCCCGCCGCCGTGTCCGCCGGCGCGTGCCCCGGTCGTGCAGCGCGATGCCTGCGAAATGCTCGTATTTGGCGGCGCCCGTGATGGCCCCGGCGATTTTCGCCAGGTGGTCTGGGGAACTGGTCGCGGGCCCTCGGGGCCGTCGAACGAGATGAAGTTCGAGGGCTCGGACCTGTCCTCGCCGCCCGCGCCCTCGGACTTGAGGCGGTCAGTCTTAGAGCGGAACGGGCTCTTGCAGTCCTCTCGCCGTTGGCCCCGCTCTCAGCAGTCGCTGCGCCTCGAGCGTCGTTTCAGATCGAGGCGCGTGACCATCTTATGCCCTTGATTTTCCCGTCGGCGGTCAAAGCAATCACGATCGACTTCTGGGGCAGCCGCCAGCTGCGTGGATGTGTATAACAATTTATGTTGGTATCTGTACAACTGATATAGCAGATGCAATTGTATGGTGATGGAAGTGTTTTGGGTTTAGCAGACAGAATGAAAAGCGCACGTGCAAGTCTGTGCCCAATGGGTCCCTAGACTCCTGCCGCGTTATCTTCTTCTTCGGTTCTGCGACTTCAGCGTGCGCTTGCATGATCTTTTCCTCTGTCAGATCTTGGGTTCCGACAGCTACAAGGAAAGTCGCTGCCTCTTCCTCCGTGAACTCCACTTCGAACAAGACTAGATGCCCCCCGTCGTCGTCCTCGTCCTGCTCCGACCATCCTTGCCGGGATTGAGGAGGTAGCGGCATCTCTGCCAGCGCCGTTGATGACGACGATGCTGGAGGGCGCGGCAAGAAAACCGCATCCTTGACATCAGCCGTGAAGAGTCCCTGTCTGATAGCTTCAGCTGTGTTTCTTTGCCTTGCGCCAAGGTTTTCAACATCATGCGAGTCTGGACCGATAATCAGGTGCCCTCCTCGTACATCTTCGCCACGACTGCATCTGGCAAAACGAGACCCATGGTCCCAGCTTTCGTCATCGGTTGATCCATCCTCAGCGCGAAGTCGGTGAGAGAGCCCGTCTTGGATATCGTCACGTCGAACAACGTTGCGTTCTGAGCCTTTCTGTCCGTGTCGCCCAATATCTCTTCGTTGAGCAACGCTAGGTGTGATAGCAAAGCCTCGACCCCGTCCAACTCGCCGAATTTCGCCCTTACCAGAACGAGCTTGGCCTGTAATTCTAATGATTCTCCTTCAGGAGTCTTCGACGCTCTAGGCCGAGCCAGGTCGGAGGGGCCGAATAGTCTCGATTCGCTTCTTCCTTTGGCAAGCTCCTGTCCTGCCACCAATCCAGGGGTGCCCAGTCGTACCGAGTGTCGTAACCGTCCCACTGGCCATCCCACCAGATGTCCCAGGCTGATCCCCAGTCGTCTGATTGTCACCTCGAGCTGTCTGCTGTTGTGCATCTTGCTTTGGTGGCGCTGCATGTGGCTCTGCCCGTGCTCCAATTGAACCTCTCGAGCCCTCGGCGTCCTGAGCGACATTCCCTCCCGCGTCCAGTGTACCTGCTTCTGTCATGACGACCCAGCTACGGTACAAATCGTTCAGCGGATCATCTTCGGCGGGCATAGAGGGGGCGATATATATATATATATATATATATATATATATGTATATATGTATATATATATATATATATATATATATATATATATCACTCGTACACAATGGGTCAGTTCACTTATATATATATATATGTATATCTCAAGGTACACTCAATATTACCTGATGAAGCCGGAAGGGCAGGGAAAAGTAGGGGAACACGAATACAGAGCGCGCCAAGGGCGGCGCTGGAGGCGCCGCCAGGGGCCCCAATGCAGATCCAGGAAATTCGCGCGGAGCTTGGAAAACCTGGGTGTTTACAATTTTTTCCTCCTCGGGCAGGGGGATGCAGACGACGACGGGGCACCTCCGCCCTGCCCCCCTCTCTTCCACGACGTCTTGGACGTCTGGCATGCCCGCCCCCGCCTCCCTGGGGCTGCAGCTCGCCAGCGCCCCCTGGAGCGGCGCGGAGCACCATGGGCGCCGAAGGGGGGGAGGAGGACACGCCCTCCCCCGCCGGCAGGCAGTCGGCGTCGCGGGCGTCCTGGCGCTGGTGGTGGCTCCTCTCGCCGATCCTGCTGGCCGGCCGAAGGGAAACGGCACCGTTACGGCGGACCCTGAACAGCCTTACACACTTACGACGGGGGCCACGATGGGGAGCCAGGATGGGGGGTCACGATGGGGGGATCGGGAGAGGGATACGGGTAGGGATACAGGGCCAGGCGTAAAGGATAGGGATCGGGATTTGGGATACGGATAGGGATAGGCACGGCAGTGGGAGGCTACGGGAGGCAACGCCGTCCGATCGATTCTAGATCTGGCAACGCACCTGCGAGTTTCTAAGAACGTAACCCATAAAGACAAGCTGTTCAGGGAAGCGTGACATGTTGGGCAGGCTGGTCGGGGGCAAGGCCAGACATGTGCGGCATGTTTACGTCGTGACGACCCTGGCGTCGGCTTCTGACGCCACGTGGATCGTTCATCCCTGAACGATCGGCGGCTTTTCGATCGCCAGATCCTTCCAGATTGGCCGATTCCGGGCCACCTGGTTCCATCTTGAACGTCCGCGGCGGCCCTGAATGGAGCTGGGCAGCTCGCATGCACAACTGCCCTCCGCCAGCCTACCTCCTCTCTCCGCGAATCTCCAGCTCCGCCCCACGCGCCCTCCGCAGAATCCGGCTCTTGGGGCGCAGCTCCAGCCAGAAGAAGCCAGTTGGGGTGTCTTGTCGACCCGCCAGCCAAGGGACGCCACCGTCGACGGAGCGGTAACGCATTCTTCAGCCTACAGCAACCTGCGGCTGAAAGAGCACCGCCTTCGCCGGCCAGCACTGTCTGCTGAGAGCGAGCGGCGCGGTCTGGGGAGCATGCGATCGCTCAAGCACCGACTTCAGGAAACTTCTGTTCGCTGCGGGAGCATGTCTCAAAGCCCTTGGCACTTTTGAATCTCTTCGGACAGGGAAACCCTTTGTTCCATAGGAGGATGAATCGCAGAAGCCCTGACTCCAAACAGCTCCCAAGAATCAGCGAGAACGCCCGAACACCTCATGATTTCCATCTCGATGCATGGCGCCCACCAGCCTGATTTTTCCAGTTAGCGGCCCTGGAGGTCCCGACCGCTTTCCTGGCGACAGTTTTCGTCTCGGATCCATTTTTAAGGACCCCGGGCCCGAAAACGGCCCGCGAGGCCCGAAATCCAAGAAACATCGCTGGCTGGAAAAAAGCATGCCGTCGGAGATCTGGGGTTTCCGTCACGGAGCAGTCCAAGAAGCGAGAGGAGAAGAGGGGGGTAAGCAAACCGTGGCCCGGATAATGTGCGCGGACGAAGTGGGGGCCAAGGAACGTGCCGAAATAAGAAGCGGGGGCCATGAAAGCTGGAAGGTGTCATGGCCCCTGCCATGATACTCCCCCGAGTCCGTTCCCCCTTCCCCCATACACCCGATGTCTCGATGCTTTCAAGACGGGGTCCCCCCATGGCCTGCTCTTCATCCCGAGTCGCTTTGTGACGGCTCTGCGGACTGGCGAGGGCCCCTAGAGGCCGAACACGATGAAGCACCTCCGTGGATGTCTGGGTCTTGGACGCCCCGGGAGATCGCGCGCGAACCCGCCGGGTCCTGCAGCCCGGCACGGCGGGCGCGGACCTCGCGGCATCATTCAACCGATCCCCATACCCACAGGTATCTCTGTGGAAAAAAACACGCACTGTGGAAAAGCCCCCCCCCCCCAGCCCCCCCCCACACACAGTGGAAAAACACACACAGTGGCACAGTGGAAAAAACAGTGTATGTTCTTTCCACAAGCGTTTTTTTTTGGGGGGGGGGTGACTTTTTCCCCAGCAGCCCACCCCGCCCAGGTGGGGAGAGGCCCCACGAAGCCTGGAGGGAGTAGCATCGATTTTCCAGGGCCCCCCCGATGCTGACAGGATCTGGCCCCCCGTCCCCCGTGGGTATGTGGTGGTGCTGCCGTGGAACCCTCGTGACCCCATACCATCTGGGGTTTGGGGTTTGGGAGAGGGGGCAGGGGCCCTGTGACCCATCCTATCTGAGGGGGAGGGGGGGGCGCGGGCCCGGAGCCTGGGAACATCATATATGATCCAGGGTCGAGGGGCCGCGGGCCCCCCCCCCCCCCAGATGGTATGGTCCCAGGATTCCTCGGGCCCCCCCCCCCCAGATGGTATGGTCCGAGACGACGACGACGACGACGACGACGACGACGACGACGACGACGACGACGACGACGACGACGACGACGACGACGGCTGCGACGACGGCGACGACGGCGACGACGGCGACGACGACGACGACGACGACGACCACGACGACGACAACGACGGCTGCGGCGGCGACGACGCCGGCGGCGGCGGCGACGACGACGATGACGACGATGACGACGGCGACGACGACGATGACGACGACGACGACGATGACGACGACGACGATGACGACGACGACGACGACGACGACGAGGACGACGAGGACGACGAGGACGACGAGGACGACGACGACGACGACGACGACGACGACGACCTCTGAACCACCACAGCACCACACCACATCCACAGGGGGGGGGGAGGGGGGCACCGCAGTGCAACACCACGCCACGCCCACCTCTGAACCACCACAGCACCACACCACATCCACAGGGGGGGGGGGAACCGCAGCGCAGCACCACGCCACGCCCACAGGGGGGGGCGGGGGGGACCATCGCGCGGGGGGGGGGGCCCAATGGCATCAGCATTGGGGCGGGGGGGGGGGGAGCCCAAACCCTGGACCATATATCCCTGTCCAGGTGCATCGGCAAATGGGCCCAAGGCCATGCCAGTGGGGATTCGGCTGCACGTAAGAGTGAACCCAAACTATAATGGCCTTTGGTGCGCGGCTTTAGGGGTGCCCGTGGGGGGCCCAATACAATCGCGCGAGGTCGAGCTCAATGACAAGGAGACGTTGCCTGATCCCCTTTGGGCCAGCACCCATGCCACTCCAGCGAAGGGTCACTCTTACGTGTAGCCGAGGGCTGGGGATCGCTTTAAAGCTGCTGGACCTCGGCACCGCCCCGCCGACGGACGCCAGCTCCCGCAGCTCTTCGGCCGTCAGCCTCTCCAGCAGCTCGGGCGCCACCAGGCCCGACAACTCCCGCTCCGCCCAGCGGCGCTGGTCCTCTCAGAGGGGCCCTGCCAGGAAGCCGGGCACACACGCGGCCACATTCACACGCGGAGCATCTGGATCCAGACGCGTCGGCGTCGTGAAAAGACACGACGGATTTTTGTCGTTGTTTTCGGCCTCCGGGGGCCCTCGCCAGGCCCTGCGACTGCCAAAAAACGACTCGAGATGAAAAACTGGCTCTAGGTAGAAGGTCGGGACTTCCGGGGACCGCGCAATGAAATTTCAAGGCATCGCATCTCTGGGAGGTCTCCGTCACCATCCTTGGCTCAAGCCGCTGTAGCGCGAGGTTGGCTAGCGCGGCCTGGCCAGAGTCCTCCCTGGACTTCGGCCAGCCTGATGGGCGCTGGGAGGGGCCTCCTCCTCTCGGCGACCCTCTCCCTGGTGCCATGTCTCCGTCTCCTGGCGGGCTGCCGCGGGCGGCCGTGCGGCGCCTCCAGCAGCGGGCGGCGGCCGCGTGGCTCGCCGCTGCCCTGGCTGCCGCTGGCGAGGGCCCTCCTGGTCTGGCGCCGGCAGCCTGCGGTCGCTGCTCTCGCGGCGGCCGGCCCGGCCCGCGCTGGGGGCCACCTGCACGGCGGCCGCGTGGCCCCGCCGCTGCTTGTGGCCCCTCGCCCGCCGCGGCGGCCGCTCGAATGGCTGCTGGCGCGGCTACCGCCGGCACTGTGGCGGCCGTCGCCGCTGTCTCGGCCGCCGCGGCGGCCGCGCGGGCGGCTGCTGATGCTGATGCTGCGGCGGCTGCAGGCTCGGCTGCTGGCGCCGCTGCCGCGGTCGCCGAGGGTGTGTCGCCCTCTCTGCGGCGGGCGGCTGGCCAAGCGGTGGCCGCCGCGGCCCGTGCGGACCCGCGCGGGCCGCGGCCCGTGGAGCGGCCAGCGCAGCCGGGAAGACTGATGCCAGCCTTCGCCAGCACAGGGAGATCTCTTGGGCCAGGTCGTGGGGGTGGCGGTGGCCAGGGAGTGCAGCCAGAAGCGCCGACGCCAGCATCCTCGTCAACACGGCCTGGATCACCGATGCCAGCATCCTCGTCAGCACTCACCGGCGCCAGCGCCCTCGCCAGCCCGGACGGGAACACCGACGCCAGCCTCCTCGCCAGCCCAGCGGGGAGCACCGACTTCAGCATCTTCGCCAGCAAAGCCGAAAGCACCGACGCCAGCTTCCTCGTCAACACAGCCTGGATCACCGACGCCAGCCTCCTCGTCAGCACAGCGGGGAGCACTGACGCCATCATGCTCGCCCTTACATCTGGGAGCACCGACGCCAGCATCCTCGCCGGCAATGCCAGGAACACCGACGCCAGCATCTTCGTCAGCGCAGCCAAGAGCACCGACGCCATCATTCTCGCCAGCAACGCTGAGAGCAGCGACGCCAGCATCCTCGTCAGCGCAGCCCGGATCACTGAAGCCACTTTCCTCGCCAGCACAGCCGGGAGCACCGACGCTAGCATCCTCGTCAGCACCGCGGGGAGCACTGAAGTCAGCATCCTCGCCATCACAACCAGAAGTACCGAGGCCGGCAACCTCCCCAGCATAGACAGGAGCACCGATGCCAGCAACCTCGCCAGTACAGCCAGGAGCACCGACGCCAACATCTTTGCTAGCGCAGCCAGGGATCCCGAGGTCACCATCCCTACCAACACAGCCGGGGGCACTGACGCCTGCATCTTCGCCAGCGCCTGCCGCTGCTCAGCGCCAGCGCAGCGCGGATTTATGGCGCCAACCTCCCCGCCAACATTGCTGGGAACATCGACGCCAATATCCTCCCCAGCACAGTCGGGAGCAACAATGCCAGCATCCGCGCCATCACAGATGCGAGCACCGACGTCAGCATTCTCGCCACTAGGGACTAGGGCGCGGATCACCCGCCAGCACTCTCGCAAGCACAGCGTGGAGCACACACGCTCAAAGTGTGCGCTCCCGCAGCGGCACTCCAGGAAGCACCGGCGCCACAATCATCGCCAGCACAGTGCGGGGTTACCAACGTCAACATCCTCGCCACCACGGCGCGGGAGATTCAGCTGGAGCCCGAGGCGACCAGGCGCCATAATTACTGGGATCAGGCCTGTGCGCGCCAGCCTTCTCGCCAGCACACTCGGGAGCACCGACGTCAGCATCCCCGCCAGCGCAGCGCAGATCACCGACACCAGCTCTTGCGCCAGCACTGCCAGGAACATCTACGCCAGTACCATCCTCTAAAATCCTGGAATCAGCGTGCGAGAGCGGGCTTGAGCACGGGACCCTGGGCTGAGGAGGGCGCTTCCCTTGTCGCTGCGGTTGGATTCGCCTCGAAGTTTTGGTCCGGGCGCGCCGTCGCAAAACGCTGATCCAGCTTCGTCCCACCCTGGCGCGTTTGGCATGCACACCCTGGTTCAGGCTCCTTGCCGCCCTGTTCCCGCTTTCTGTCGCGCTGGTGCTGATGACATGCACGTGCCTACATCCAGCGCCGTTCCGGCTTTTCGTTGCCCTGGTGAGCGCGGAGCGTCGGAAGGCCACGGGCCACTCGCGGGCCCTGGGGAGCAGCAGGGGGACCCTGGGCGAGACGAGGGCCGGGGTGACTGGGGCAACCCCTCTCGGGAAGACGACGAGGCACCTGGCGGCGCCCAGACCCGGGACGCACACTCTGGTGTTGCTTCTGTACCTGGCTCCTGTGCCGCTTCGCGCCGATGCCCCGGCTCGGCCCAGGACCCCGATCCCCCGGCAGCAGGGCTTGGGGTGCAGGCGCCGAGGCTCGGCCTCAACGAACTCGTGGGTTGGCCAGACTGCACGCTATGCTCGACGGGCCGATCACCCCCAGGCTTTCGTCCGCCAGCGTTGCCTTTCGTCGCCCCCAGCCTTCCGTCCGAGCGGCAGCGCGGAAACCCTTCAATGCGTTGCTTCCTGCAGGCTGCAGGGGGCAGTGGCGACGACGGCGCGCGGGCAGACGCCGCGGCCGCTGCCGCCTCCGAAGCGGCAGACGCCGCCGCTATCCGTCGACGCGTGGCTGATGGACGATACGCGCCCCTGCAGAGCGAGGACAGCGCTCAAACGGTGGGGGCCCCGACCGGGGAGACGGGAGACGGTGCGCACGGCTCCCCTGGCCTCGGCCCAGCCCGCGCCGCCGCGTGCGCCGCCCACCCCGGCGCGCAACTCGAGGGCGCTCCCGGCGGCCCCCGCAGCCCCGGGGCGCATGCGTGGCGGCCAGCGCTCCCCGGGCCCCGGACCCTGCCGACTTCTGGCGAAGGCTACCAGGCAGGCGCAGCGCGCGTGCACGGAGAGGGTCCCTGGGAGGCCCCCCGGCGGCAAGCCGCCAGCCGATTCGGCTCTCGCGGCGCGCTGGGGAACGCCAGGAGCGGGCCAAATGCTCCCTCATGGGAACTGAGGACCCGTGCCAACCTGGAGCCGGACGAGGGTGGTGGCTGGCAGTGCAGAGGACGCACCCGGTGTACCCAACGATCTGGGTGATGTCACCCCTCCTGGGCTCTTGGCACTGCGGTGGGCTTGGTGTTGCGACGTTCGCACGCTTCATGTCCCTTTCCCCAACTCGTTCTGGCTTTGTGCCGCCCTGATGTTCAATTGCTGGTCGTCTCTCCTGTGGCCGCGTACCGGGGGCCCCTGAACACCTGTTATGCTCTCAGGGCGGTGGCTGCTTGGAATTGCGCCTCCGTGGACCTGGGGTGGTGACCTCCGCACACTTCACGTCCCACTCCCGCGGTGCCCCGGCCTTTTCCCGCCCTGGCGCTCGGACGCTGATCGCCCCTCCCCTGGCCGTGTCCCCGGGGTGCCCTGGTCTCCTGTTCTGGGACCTCAGCGCCCTGGGCGCTCTCCTGCTCCCCCTCCCCGCCGCCCTCGCCATCGCTCGGACGTCCATTCCCTGTGTTTTTTTTCGGTTTCGTGCGTGGTTTTTTCGCCAAATGATGAAGGATGCTCCTCGATGGTCCTCGCCGAGAAAAAATGCACACGTCCGAGCGATGCCAGGCGCCCCGCCCGCCCCTGCTCACTTCTCTCCTCCCCCCCCGCCGTCGGCGCCGCCATGGCGTCGGCGGGCGGCCACGGCCGGCCAGGTCTCTGGCCAGCGACGCCCCTCGGCCTGGACGCTCCTGTCGCGGTGTGCTTCCTCGTCGCCTTCCTTTGTGCGGCTTTCGCGCTGTTGGGATCCCACGTGGACCGTGTCCCCGGCTGCTCCGATTGGGCTTCCGAGGGGGTTCTCCTAATTACCCGGAGCAGCTTCGAGCCCATTGGCGCCCGCGTCCCCTCTCGCACCCCCTGCTGGGCCCCCCAGGACCTCGTGCGGCTCCGCCCTCCGCGGCACTGCTCGGACCTGCTCCTCGGCACGCGCGCGGCGGCCTTCACGGTCTGAGTGTGCCGCCCTCCCGCGTCCCCTCCGGCCCTCCCTCCCCGCGGCCCCCCCTGGTGCCCAGTGGCCGGCCGTGCCCCGGCGCGTCCCGCCGCCGCTTTCCCGCCGTTCGGATCTTTCATGGCCGCCGACTGGACGAATAAGAGACGTCTGGGGAGGCCACGAGGCTGGAAACACCTGGCCGCGTGTGCATCCAACTCTAGCCCAAGCTGGCCGCGTCCTGTGTATCCAGCTCCCTGGTATCTTGTCACGCTTTCCGCCTCCGACCCCATGGCTGGCCCTGCCCTTCAGGCCGAGAGTGCCGCTCTTCTGTGGGGCCCTGCTTTGGTGCGTCCCCCAAAAAGGCAATGGAAGAACGCAAGAGCTAAGTATCGATGCGACGCCCGAAGCTTCCCACGGGGTCCGTACTTCGGTTTCTGCCTTCTCGCGCCTCCAGAGTGTCACTGCATTCAATGATGCATACACTGGCTAGACATGGCTACATGACGAAATCCTTTGATACCAGCGGCAGAGAAGTGATACGGAAGTGAACGTTCCGTGGGCAGCGGTGACCATTCGAAGGTGGGCCCTTCCCAACAAGTAGGGTTCGCCTAGGATCTCGAATCTGCAACTTCATAACCCATCTGCCCGTGAGCTGAGCTGTATCGCGAGGGACGAATCGGCGGAAAGAGCCTTCGGGGAAATAAAACTGCGCACAGAGGGAATCTTCAGAAATCACAACTTGGCCAAACATATTCGGCCCCGATGTGACGCGTGAAAGGAAGCTACAGCAGCTCTGACAACGTAGTCGGGATTTCGGAGAATGGCCGGAGCGCTGCCAGAAGTGGATTCGGTCCTCGTGCGGCTTGTGCGGCTGCGGGTAGGGCTCCAGGGACGAGTACTCGTATCTGCCCGTCTCCTCGGGAGCTCAACACTAGGCGCCAGACGCAGCATATTCCAGGAGAAGACGCAGCTCCCTTCGCTCTTTGGGCAGCAGACCTCCTTCTCCTCCTGCTGTTCTTTCTCCCCTGTTCTGCACCAGGCCCAACCTGTTCACCACTTCACTGGGGCCAATTTTTCATCGCGGGCTGTTTCTGACGGCCCTGGTGCCCGAAACCAGCTTCCGAATGCTCCGGATTGTGAAAAGCCGGTCCCCTCGATTCCTCGAGCTGTCGGATGCCTGGGTTCTCCAGGGCCCGAGGAGGGGGGGCGAGTGCGAGCGAGCGAGCGAACGAGCGACCTCCTCCTCCTTCTCGTCGTCGTCTCCCTCGTCCTCTCCGTCCTCGTCCTCGTCCTCCTCCGCCTCCACCTCCGTGTCCTCGCCCGCCTGCGCCTGAGGAAACGTCCTGGGCACGCAAGGCATCGCGCGGTGCGAGCCAAGAGGCCTCGCCAGCGCAAGAAGGCTCCCGCCGACCCGGGGCCGCGCAAGGCGAGGCCACGCTTCGACCTCTCCTCGACCTCCTCCTTTGTCCCCCACCCCCTCCTCGTCCTCCTCCTCCTCGACCTCCTTCTCTGACCTCCTCCTCCTCCTCCTCCTCCTCCTCCTCGACTCCTTTTCCTCCTCGACCTCCTCCCCTGACCTCCTCTTCCGCCTCCTCCTGCTCTGCCGCACGGGGGGGCTCCTGCGCGGAGGCGGGCCTCGCTGGGGCGTCCGACGCCCCCTCTGCCTGCCGAGGGGCGGACGCGAGGGGGGGACAGCACGCGAGAGGGGGGGGGGGAGCGGATCGGCTCACGCACCCCGTTTTCGCACGACCCCGCTCGTGTCCCTGGGCTAGCTTCGCCCCGTTCTGGAGCCCCTGTGGGCCCCCCTGGGTCTCGTGAGGGGTGCTCTGGAGGTCGTGTGGGCCTCGTGGGAATTCATGACTGTTCTTTCCCAACCATCCTGTGGTGTTGGGTCCTCGTTTTGAAAGGACAGCGCCTCGTGTTCCTCCTCTCCTCTCCTCTCTTCTCCTCTCCTCGCTCTCCTCTCCTCTCCTCTCCTCTCCTCTCCTCTCCTCTCCTCTCCTCTCCTCTCCTCTCCTCTCCTCTTCTCTCCACTCCACTCCTTCTCCCTCCTCCCTAGGGCCCAGTGCAGCGTTTCGTGGCCCCATGCGATGCTCCACCGAAGGCCCCAGAGGCAGGTTTCGCATGGCGGCCCCGCCCCAGTTCGGCACACCCCTCACAAGTTTCGTGGCCCCATACGGAGCTCCACCGAAGGCCCCAGAGGCAGGTTTCGCATGGCGGCCCCGCTCCATTTCGGCGCACCCCTCACACGCTTCGTGCCCCCATACGGAGCTCCTCCGAAGGCCCCAATGGCAGGGTTTGCATGGCGGCCCCGCCACATGTCGGCACACCCCTCACACGTTTCGTGGCCCCATAGGGAGCTCCACCGAAGGCCCCAATGGCAGTGTTCGCATGGCGCCCCCGCCCCATGTCGGCGCAGCCAACACGTTTCGCCGACCCATAGGGAGCTCCACCGAAGGCCCCAGTGGCAAGGTTCGCATGGCGGCCCTGCCCCCATTTCGGCACGCCCCTCACACGTTTCGTGGTCCCATAGGGAGCTCCTCCAGAGGCCCCAGTGGCAAGGTTCGCATGGCGGCCCCGCCCCATGTTAGCGCACCCCTCACACGTCTCGTGGCCCACAGGGAGCTCCACCGAAGGCGCAGTGGCAGGGTTCGCAAGGCGCTTTCGCCTCATTTCGGCACACCCTTTTCACAAGTTTCGTGGCCCCACAGGGAGCTCCACCGAAAGCTGTATTCATACTGTGGTACCCCCAGTTGCAGATGGTTGGGCCCTTCGCCAGGATACATGTTTCCCATCCATTCTGTGGTGCTGGGTCCTCAATGGGAAGGTTCGCAGGCTCCTTCCTCCCGCCTCCCCATCCCTGCCTCCGCCCTCCTCCGCACGACCATGTCGGCACGCACCTCACACGTTTCGTGGCCCCACAGGGAGCTCCACCGAAGGCCCCAATGGCAAGGTTCGCATGGCGGCTCCGCCCCTTTTCGGCACACTCCTCATACGTTTCGTGGTCCCGTGGGGAGCTCCACTGAAGGCCGGTTCGCATGGCGGCCCCGCCCCATTTCGGCACGCACCTCACAAATTTCGTGGCCCCATAGGGAGCTCCACCGAATGCCACAGTGGCAGTGTTCGCATGGCGGCCCCGCCCTATTTCGGCACACCCCTCATACGCTTCGTGGCCCCATAGGGAGCTCCACCGAAAGCCCCAGTGGCAGGTTCGTATGGCGGCCGGGTTTCATGTCGGAATGCCCCATCACACGTCTCGCGGCCCCAGGGGGGGAGCTCCACCAAAGGCCCCAGTTGCAGGGTTCGCATGCTCCCTCCTCCCTCCTCTCCAGCTCTGCCTCTGCCCTCCTTCGCACATCCATTTCGGCCCACCCTCCCACGTTTCGTGGCCTCATAGGGAGCTCCACCAAAAGCGGTACCCACAATGCGGTACTCACAACTGCATATGGTTGGGTCCTTCGCCAGTTCTCTTGTTTTTAGTCTGCATGATATACGGTACAATGATCCTGCAAGAAACATCGGGCACATCTCATAGAAACGTGTATCCACATATTGTCTTACAGTCGATGATTCCTGCCAGGGTGTACGTCCAGAAATTGACTGATCAACGTTCGACGGACAGAGCCTGGCGGCGGGTGTGGCCAACGACAAAATCATAATATCACTAGTTTGTACATACTGGTGCAGACAGCAAGTGCCTCCTTGGGAATTTCTGGGGACACCCTGGGCCAAAAGCACCTCTGGAAACACCCGAGCCGTAAACGGGGACTTCGCTAAACCAAAGCCTTGGCGCACTGGAGAAAACTGCAACCGTGCATGTCAACAAACCCTTCATTCTCCGCTCTCTCCGGCTGGAATTTGCAAGGTCCTGGTTTACAGTGTCCTGGTTTCTGGGGTCCGTATCTTCCCAGCTCCTGCCAGCGCCGGAGGCGCTCATTCTTTCGAGGAAAGTGCGCAGCGGCGGAAGCAAGACCTACCTGGATGTAGACTTTCTTTCCGTACCTCCCGCCCCGTCCCAAACATCTGACGTCGTGTTTTTTTCGCAACGTGGCTCCCCAAAGATATGGGCCTCGTCCCGAGGACCCGCGTTGTTATCCCGAGCCGTTTCTTGACGGCCCTGGGTCCTGGCAAGTGATGTCGGAGGCCGAAATTTCCCAAAGCCTCCCGTTGTCATCCTTGCGCGAGGCCAGGATGCCAGGGCTGGGGGTCAGAAATCTACCCCTGGACCTTTGTAGAATGTGCGTTCTGACCAAGAGTCTCGAGGCGGATCTGGCCATAGCGACGAGAAGCCTCCCCGAGGCTAGGCGAAACACTGTCAGAAGTCTTCCGTCGCGATTTGGTTTCACGGCGCGAAGGTGTCAAAAATTTCCGTGCAGTCCCCCCGCCCCTTTCGTCCGACCTGAGCCTGCTGAGCGGGCCCCGGGGCGCTGTCGCCGGGGAAGACGTACTTGGATGTCTGCGGCAAGCTCAGCACGCCCGAGGCCCAGCTCGGGAGCGGCGGCTGGTCCTCGCCGAACGGATAGGAGCAAACAACGACATAACCACACATCTCTGGAGCTCCGCGCGGGTCAGGAAAATCCGCGCGGAGCTTCAACACGTTCTGCTTACGCAGCTTTACCTTCTTCGAAACGAGACGAACCCAGATTTCCGAAGGACTGTGGTTGTCAGTCTGGGCGGTGAGGATGCCTCGCCAACATCGACTGGCGGTGAGCGATCAAAGGACAAGCGGAGAGTCCAGAATATCAAGTCACGACCAAGCCGTAGGTATGCCCCGGGCCAAAGCTTCGCTGGCCACACGCGGTAGCGGTCTGGACGGCCAGCGCTTACCAATCAAGCGGAAAACAAATCACTCAAAATGGTCCCACGGGGCCCTCCGTGAGACGACAAGAAGGCACAAGCACGGGGGGTGGGGAGGAGGAGGGGAGGAAAGAGGAGGAGGAGGGCAGGAGGTGGGATTCTCTAGATTTTGGCGTCTGGGAGCTGTTTTCGGGCTCTGGGGCCCTCAAGCAAATGTTCAGGATGCAAATCTATTCCCAGGGGAGTGGTGGGAAGATCTGCGGCCGCAGGTCGAACCAATAACATCGTCGGATGTCTGGGAGCGCAGGATGAAGGCAAATTTGGGTGAAGATTAGCTGGAAGATCTCTGAGAGCTGGCAGGCCTAGAGGATCCATCGAGCGCTGCGGCCGCTCCAGAGCGCTCTAGAACGCTGTGGGGCGACTTTATCATCATCCCATGACGTTGCGGTGACAGACCGTGCAGTAACCTCGAAATCCACAAAGACCTCACCGCACGGTCCGTCACTGCACCGCTTTGGGACCCTGTAGGCCCCCCAATCGCCCGAGATGTCCTCGGACGACCCAAGCCCCAAAATCGTGCGGTCACCTCGAATCCTCGCTGACTCTCTACACGGTTTGGTCACCGCACCTCTTGGGGGCCCCCGGGACTGATCTTCATCCCAGCTCTGCCTGATCCAGTGCCAGCGCTGTGCCGGGGCCGGGCAGCGGCGCAGCGGGCGCGCGCGCCAGCGACTCCGGGGCAGCGTCGGCCAAGCTGGGGCTGCCCTCCGCCTGGTAGGCGCTGGGAGAAGAGGCTTCCGTGGGCGCGATGGGGGCCCGGTTCGAGTCGGCCCCGCGGCAGGCCCCACACCGCATATATAGCTCCTGACAAGACCTTGGACACATTCTGGCTGGGCGTCGGGCGCGGAGAACGAGGCCCAGGCACCCTCCCGGAAAAAATTAGCCTGGTGAAGGACCCAACCATGAGCAATTGTTAGTACCGCAATTGTGGGCATCATCTTCGGTGGAGCTCCCTATGGGGCCACGAATCGTGTGAGGGGTGCGCCAAAATGGGGCAGGGCCGCCATGCGGACCCTGCCACTGGGGCCTTCGGTGGAGCTCCCTACGGGGCCACGAGCCGTGTGAGGGGTGCGCCAAAATGGGGCGGGGCCGCCATGCGGACCCTGTCACTGGGGCCTTCGGTGGAGCTCCCTATGGGGCCACGAACCGTGTAAGGGGTGCGCCAAAATGGGGCGGGGCCGCCATGCGGACCCTGCCACTGGGGCCTTCGGTGGAGCTCCCTATGGGGCCACGAACCGTGTGAGGGGTGCGCCAAAATGCGGGGCCGCCATGCGGACCCTGCCACTGGGGCCTTCGGTGGAGCTCCCTATGGGGCCACGAACCGTGGGAGGGGTGCGCCAAAATGCGGGGCCGCCATGCGGCCCCTGCCACTGGGGCCTTCGGTGGAGCTCCCTATGGGGCCACGAACCGTGCGAGGGGCGGGCCAAAATGCGGGGCCGCCATGCGGACCCTGCCACTGGGGCCTTCGGTGGAGCTCCCTATGGGGGGCCGCCATGCGGACCCTGCCACTGGGGCCTTCGGTGGAGCTCCCTATGGGGCCACGAACCGTGTGAGGGGTGCGCCAAACTGCGGGGCCGCCATGCGGACCCTGCTACTGGGGCCTTCGGTGGAGCTCCCTATGGGGCCACGAACCGTGTGAGGGGTGCGCCAAAATGCGGGGCCGCCATGCGGACCCTGTCACTGGGGCCTTCGGTGGAGCTCCCTATGGGGCCACGGAGCGCGTGAGCGATGTGCCGAAACAGAGACATGCGAAGGGCAGAGGCAAGGGGGAGGGAGGAGGGGGAGGAGGGGGCAGCGGGAGGAAGGAGGAGGAACGCGGGGCACCGTCTCTTCAAAACGAGGACCCAAGACCACAGGATGGTTGGGACATATGATAATTGTGGTATAAGGCGGTTGGGTACGCAATAAAGTGGGGGCAACCACCATGCCGTAATGTCATCAGTTGCGAAGCAGCTATGCGGTAGCTGCGAGGTAATAGCGTGGTAGCTACTAGGCTTCCATGATGTAGTTCTACTGCAGATGCGCTTTAGCCCTGTAGCTCCCGATTCTTGAATAGTGAATCGTACAGCGATTCTGCCTCGTTATGTAGCTCTGAGATCATGGAGTAGCTGGATAATGATTGTGCAGTAAAAAACGGCGTTCTGCTGCCCCTGTGGCTATGATGTGGCTGTGATGCCGTTGCCGGCAATGGAACATCGGCTCGAATGCAGAATACAAGGTGTGCCGATAGGCGGCCCAACAAAGAACCCGCGTGCGGAAAGCTTCTCCTCAGATGCTCCTCCCGGCTCGGACACCCTCCTCAACCGCCAGACGAGAGGGAGTCCTCTGGGCGAGCGCCTGGCAAACAGATGGGGGGCGAGAAAGCATCCCAAATCTTGGGCGTCCCATCACGGTGCGGTGACAGACCGTGCGGCGATCTCGAAATCACAGAGAACCTCACCGCACGAACCGTCACCGCACCGCTTTGCGACCCTGGAAGCCCCCAATCGCCCGAGACGTTCTCGGAGAACGACGCAAGTTCCAGAACCGTGCGCCCACAAACTCACCACACGGTGGGGCCCCCGAAATGGACCTCGGGTCAGCGATCCGAAGTGCTGAGAGCCCAGGTGGGCAGGCGCCTGGCGCCCACCCACGACAAGGCGCGCAGGCGGGGCCTACAACGCACGCACCCGCTCGCCTTCGGGTTGGCCCCCGCCGCTCGTCGTTGGTCGTTGGTCGTTGGTCGTTGGTCGTTTGTCGTCGTTTGTCGTCGTCGTTTGTCGTCGTCCTCGTCGTCGTCCTCGTCGTCGACCGATCGCGGCCTCGGGGTGCGGCACGCGCTGCTTGGCCGCGATCGGCAGGGCCACGGGCAGCACGGACGAGGGCCCTGGCGGGGTGGTCGCCGTGCCGTGGCTGCGCGCCGAGCCGAGGCTCCACCTGCCCGGCTGGGGCTGCGGCGGCGGCGGCCCCGGGCGCGGGTGGGCCGGCTCCGAGGGTGCGCCCGGCTGCACGGGCTGCGCGCCCGCCGAACCTCTGTGGGGAGGGGGCACCCTCTGGTCCTCCCTTCGCCGGCCTCCTCCTCCTACTCCTCATCCTGCTCCCTCTCCCTCGTCCTGCTTGTCCCCCTCGGCCTCCCCCTCGTCCTCCCCTTCCTCCTCCTCCTGCTCCTGCGTCTCCTCCTCCTTCTCCTGTTCTGATCGGCAGGCTGTGAGGTGCCGATCAGTCAGCATCGGGTTTGGAAGGCGGGTCGGATCGGGATGTGCGTCAAGTCTGGCCGCATCGGCACGGAATCGGGATCGAATCGGTTCGCCCGCGCCAGGATGCACATCAGCACTATACAAACATCGGGCCGCATCGGACCGTCGGAATATCGGAATCGAATCGGATCGAGCCGGCCAGAATCGACACCGAATGGGACCGATCGACGGAAAGGGACCTTGCTGGGTGGCAACAAATACTGTACGCGGAGGGCATGTGTCTACCACCACGGCCATGCCTTGGCAGGGCCGTCCTGGTCACTGGCATAGTCAAGCCGCCCTCCTGGCCGAGGCCACGAGGATCTAAATACCATCCAAGGGCCCACAATGGCCCAGGCCAGGCACGGTGATAGTGCGGGACAACTTTCTGCGGGTGCATCCTCGTCTTTCTGCTGGTTTCTGCAGCTTGGGGAGGGAGAGTGCGTTACGTCAACAACATCTCGCCGAGATCTTCAGAAAGTGGTGTTGCGACACTGCCTGTCCTGCAGAGGCTTGATTCTGCCTGGAAACCGAATCGACGACCTCGTACAGAGACTGCCCTATCACGGAGGATGGATGGGAAGATATGGGGAAACGCTTCGCCAATACCTGGTGGGTGGGTTTCGCTGTTTTCGGGGGGGGGGCGAGGGAGGGGGGGCGGAAATCGGGATCCGCTGTTAGGTCGTGACGAGCGGTCTAGGGCGGAGGCTTGGCTTGTTGTCTTGATCGGCCTCCTGTAGCCCGACTCGTGACAAAAACCATCAAACCGACACACTTGTCGCTGATACTCCATCAATGGGGGGCTGCTCTACCAAGTGTGGGCGGATCATTGGGATTGCGGATATTTCGGATCATCGTGGAGATGGTATTGCAGATCATTTCGCAAGGTCAATGTAGCAGACCCGTGTCCAACGTTGTCATACATGAACGCTGGCCAATCCAGAAGCCGTGACGGGACGTTGCCGACCGCTTGCGCTCAAGCCTTTCAATAGGCACAGGCGTGAAAATAGTCATTGCTGGGAAGCTCGTAGGGCGTCCAGAGAAAATATTCTGAAAATTACATGTAATGCCTCAGTGTCGCACACTCATCGAAACCCAACCTAGCGCGAGAGACCCAGCACATCTTTGACGAACTCGCTGGCTACCCTTCCTTTTACCGGCCTGCCTGCCTGCACGTCGGCAAGCCCACCTGTTCGCCTCAATGCCTCCTCGGCTGCCTTCTTGAACACATGCTTCCCGACCATCAGTTTTTTGTTGTTCTTGTTATTGTTCTTGTTCTTGTTCTTGTTCTTGTTCTTTTTGTTGTTATTGTTGTTGTTGTTGTTGTTGTTATTGTTGTTGTGTTGTTGTTGTTGCTGCTGTTGTTGTTGCTGCTGTTGCAGTTGCTGTTGTTGTTGTTGCTGTTGTTGTTGTTGTTGTTGTTGTCGTTGTTGTTTTTCAAGACGGGGTCCCCAGAAATCCGGAGCCTTTCCCGAACGCCAGCTTTTCATCCGGAATCGTTTTTTGACGATCCCGGGGCCTGGCCAGGGCCCCTGCAGGCTGAACATGAAGACACACCCTGCGCTGTGATCTCTGACGACGCGAGGAGGTCTGTATTGTCTGCTTGCCAGCCTGCCTGCAAGTCCTCCAGCCGACGTGGCTCTCCCGCCTGAGCCCCCCTCTGCTCTGCTTGCCTGCCCCCTTGCATGCCGTGATTGCCCGCCTGCCGACCTGCCTGCCATGCCTGCCGTCCGACTGCCTGGTCGCGCGGTGGCGCAGGAGCCACAGACATGGACATTCGCTGTCCTGCTTTTCCCTACAAAGCGTCTCTGTAAGGGTCCCTTTGTGCTGCTTCAAGACACGTGTGCACCTTTCCAAATCTGGAATCGGCGGCCCCTTGTCTCCCGCATGGTCTCCCCTACGGTCAAGAACTTTTGGTTAGCGTGTTGCTCTGCCGATTCTGGCACACCACGCTTCGGCGCAAAACGCTATCCGCTTCCCCGTCCCCAGGAGTACACGTCCCGACCCGTTCCCAGACTCCCGTCCCGCGGACGGGAACGACACGCTATCCACTCGCAGGGCACAGCGTGCCGCCGAGGCCGCCGCCGCGACGCGCTAAGCAACAGTTTCTGGCCGATGTGCAGCGCAGTGTGATATCCTGATTGTATGTGCGGCGCAGTTTGATACTCTGTTTGCTCTTTCGTTCTGCGGCTTAGGGTTTGCTGTTGCCACGGTGCAATTCTTCAATACGGCCCTCCGAGAATGCCGACCCTTGCCCTGGCTCTTTCGCCCTGGACGATCTTTTAACGGTCCCGAGCTGGGCGAAGGCCACCAGATGCCGAAGAGGGCGGAGGACCTCTGTGCTGCCGCCATTGGCGTAAAAAGCGCCCACCGATCGGAGGAACCCGCGCCCATGCGTTGAGAACCCCCTGTGTCCCCCGATTTCAACATTGAGAACGGGTGTGTCTGCGGGTTTGAGTTGTGCCGTTTGCTATGCCGATGGTTGCACTCCTACATCAGAAGCGAAGGCATCATTGAAATGTGGGGCCCAGGGGTGGCCCCGTCGACGCAACATCTTTGGATGGGCGTTTCTTACGGCAACAGCGGTGTCACCCGTGGTGGCGGTTGAGGTCCCGTCCTCTGAAATCCGACGTCAAGAAACCAAAAGGGAATAGCGTAACACAAACACGACTGGAGCCCTAGGCCCCATCTCTCTGCGCCAGTTTCCGAATCAGATTGATCAGTGAAGGTCCTTGGGCCCGCAGCTGGGCGACACTGCCTGGCTCGACGAAAAATGTGACGCCAGGATCTCGGGGGAGGCCCGGGGAGGGGGCCGCCCGTCGGGGAGGGCTCCCCTCCCAAACATGCGTTGTCTTGCTTTTTCCCAACCATCCTGTGGTGTTGGGTCCTCGTTTTGAAGAGACAGCGCCCCGCGTCCTCCCTCCTCCTCCTTCCCCCCTCCCTCCTCCTCTCACCCGTCATCATCACCATCATCGTCATCATCATCGCCGTTATCAGCACCATCACCCCTCACACGTTTCGTGGCCCCATAGGGAGCTCCACCGAAGGCCCCAGTGCTACCGGCCGCATGCGTCCCGCACGCCCAATTCGGCACACCCCTCACACGTTTCGTGGCCCCATAGGGAGCTCCGCCGAAGAACCCAGTGCCGCCGCCCGCATGCGTCCCGCACGCCCAATTCGGCACACCTCTCACACGTTTCGTGGCCCCATAGTGAGCTCCACCGAAGGCCCCAGTGCCGCCGGCCGCATGCGTCCCGCACACCCAATTCGGCACACCCCTCACACGTTTCGTGGCCCCATAGGGAGCTCCGCCGAAGAACCCAGTGCCGCCGGCCGCATGCGTCCCGCACAATCAATTCGGCACACCCCTCACACGTTTCGTGGCCCCATATACGGAGCTCCATCGAAGGCCCTAGTGCCGCCGCCCGCATGCGTCCCGCATACCCAACTCGGCACACCGCTCACACGTTTCGTGGCCCCATAGGGAGCTCCATCGAAGGCCCTAATGCCGCCGCCCGCATGCGTCCCGCATACCCAATTCGGCCACCGAAGGCCCCACTGCCGCCGGCCGCATGCGTCCCGCACACCCCTCACCTTGTTTCGTGGCCCCATAGGGAGCTGCACCGAAGGCCCCAGTGCCGCCGCCCGCACGCGTCCCGCACACTCAATTCGGCACACCCCTCACACGTTTCGTGGCCCCATAGGGAGCTGGTGGTGCCGACAGCCTCCCTAGGGCCGATTTCGTCGTCGTCGTCCGTCGTCGACGTCCGACCTGCGCGTAGCGCGGCGCCCGCAGCCTTGAACTTTGGAGTGCGCGGGCAAAGAGGAAGGAAAAGAACGGGAGGAAGTGGGCGCGATCCTCGTGTGGGGCGTGCCGACATGGGCGTCGCGGCGCGTGCGCGCTGCCGTCGGGGTTCCCATGAAAACTCCTTGCGGAGGCTACGCTCAGTGTCGCGAGCTCTCTGAGTCAGGCAGACCAAAACCATTCACAGTCGTATGCGTTTACATTAGGCGACTCCATGCTCGCAGTCATGCAAATAAAATCAATCGCGCGCATATTCATTCAGAATCAGACTCACTCGCGCTTAGACTCGCCCGCGCTCAAGCTTTCATACCTAGACCTATCGTTTTCGTTCGTGTTGTGTACCCTATCACACAAGTCGGCAAACCCCTCATACGGTTCGTGACCCCATAGGGAGCGCCACCGAAGAATATATTCACAATTGCGGTATTAACAACTGCGTATGGTTGGATCCTTCGCCAGGCTAATTTTCAACACGCGGTCCCCAGAAACCTCGATCATGTAACAAAGGCCAGATTTTGATCCCGGGTCGTTTTTGACGGTCCCAAGGCAGGGCAAGGATGGCCCCCGGAGGCCAGAAACGGCCAAAAACGGCCAAAAACCTTCCGTCGTGCCTTCTGCACGACGCGAGCATGTCAGGGGGGAAAACAGCGCAGAAACCGCCACGACGAGGCCCCCAGCGGCCGCAAACAACGACACCCTCGCGCCCCGAGTTTTTTCACGACGCGGGCAGGTCTGGGCTCTGCCCCCCGGGGCGCCTTCGCCCGTCCGGTCGGAGGGCGCCGGCGGCTCCGCCCCGCCCGCCTCCCGCGCGCCCTGCGCGCCGCGGGCGGGGGACCTCTCGGGCCGGGCCCGGGCGGCCTTGAAGAGCGGCGTGCGCGGCGGGTCCGTGCCGTGAGGGCTTGTGTCCGCCCTGGGATCCTGGCGTCTCGACTTTTTCGAGCCAGGCGCTGTCGCCCAACTTCGGGCCCCGGGGCCCTCACATATCGATCTGGCTCAAACATTGGCGCAGGAAGATGCGGTCTGGGGGCTCTGGTCGTGATTTGTGTCCGATGTTTTTTTTGTTGCGCCATCGGATCTCAGGGCAAGATTGATAGCCTACACGCAGGAGTGACCCTTATGAATGTGTATGATGTATTCTGTGTCAGACTGATTTGAAGACAGGTTCCGCCCGATTAGCGCCTGGTAGTGTGTATCAATGCCCCCATCAGCGCTTCTTGGTGGCTACTAGTGTCCATTGGCGCCCAGCGTCGACCACGAATAAGCAGTGATGGATGCCATTGGTCGGGGAAGGCCGCTCCTCGTGCCGAAAATGACCCTCACGCGAAATACACCTAACGAGCCTGGGCAGGAATGGCCTTCGGTGCGCGGCTCCGGGGGCCGCGTGGGGGTCAGATCCGAGCGCGCAGGCCGGTGCTCGGGGGACCCCTGCGGGCCCGATCCCGGAGAGATGGCTTCGGCGAAGGGTCACTCTTTCGTGCCGCCGAACTGAGCTGGGACCGGGACAGACTCGGACGGGGACAGGTCGGGGATCTCTGAGATCTCGCGGTCCTGGAGGAGGTGTGGGGCGCCGCGGCCGTTCCAGAGCGCCCCAGAGCGCTCTGAGAGCGTCTCCGAACGCTCTGGAGCGAGTTCTCCCAATCAGAGGCCCGCCCGATGTGCGGTGGTCTCTGCTGGATTCGGCGAGGGGGGGCGGGGCCGGGAGAGGGGGTGGTGGGCGCATCGTGGCGAGGGGGGCGTGCCGACAAGAGAAGGAGGGGGGGCCACAGAATTTGGGAGGTGTCATGGCCCTGGCTTTTGCAAGCGCGAACTGTTCAACGGGGTTTCTGCGAGTTCGGCACGCGGCGGCCGAGACATCATGGAACGTCTGTCCACCACGCGGCTGGTCTTCTACCAGTTAGCACTGCCTTGGTGTACGAGGGGGGCTACTTCTGCGGTCTCCCTCGGCGCACATGGCGAGTCAAAGTCTGATCTTGCTCAGTTTTTGCAACTGGACTCGTACCAAAACTGCAGAGCGCAACTCGGCTAAACGCAAGCGTGACCCTGGGCAAGAGACCTTCGGTGCGCGGCTTTCGGGGGCCGCGGGGGAGGCCAAGAGCAAGCCATCCAAGCGCGACATTCAAAGCTGGCGGCAACCCTGTGGACCCGCAGTGAAGGTCACTCTGGCGAAGGGTCGCTCTTACGCGTAGCCGAGCAACGCGCTGTCCCCAGCACCCTGCTCACGATATCCACTCCTCCGTAGTCCTCATTACCCTCTCTGGCGCCCCCGATTCTGGCACCGCGTGGGTCGTTCAACGTTGAACGAGCGGAACTTTCTGCGGGCGCCGCCCGCTGGATGCCGGCCGGCTCCCAAACACTGGCGGCGTTCAACCTGGAAAGCCCGCGTTGGGTTCGCTCTCGCGTCGGCGTGGCGCGAATCTGCTGTGCGCCACCCCCACCCCGAGAGAGGCGTCGCAAGGATCACAACACCAGCCAGTAGGCTTGCGTCTGCTCTGGGCTGCGCTTGGCCTCCCCGCCCAAGCCCCCGACCTAGAATGTTTTAGGGCGACTTTTTCATCCCGAGCCGTTTGATGACGCTCCCGGGGCCTCTTCATCAGGGGCCTCCGGAACTTTCCGCCGGGGTCCTCTTCACGACGCGAGGGGTCTGCTTCTGGGGGTCACCAGCCGAGCCCTGAGGCTCGTCCTGGGGCGTATTCTGGCAAGCATCTCGAGGAAAACCTGGAAAAAGCGACGGGGAGCCTCCCGGAGGCCACGGAAGCGCTCAGACCTCGAAGCTTCAACCTCGAGGTCGAATCCGAAGAACATCTGGCCGCGGCGACGGTCGGGGCCTCCAGGAGGCCGCCCAACGGGCCCAGACCTCGAAGCCCCAACTTGGAAGCCTCCCCAATGAGGTCCGAGTAGATGGGCCGCAACGCCGATGCATCGGCGATACGTCGGCGACGTCGGCGATGCACCAGCGCCGCAAGAATGGGGGAAATCAGGTTCCACATCGAGCCATCCGCGACGTGGCGCGATCCTCCGACCTCATTTGTTAAGACCCCTTCTGGGGGGGCCTGGAACGCCCCAACCTCGAGATCGGAACTCCGACCTCGAGATCGAAGACTCAGCCTAGAGATCCACGTCCAGCCCTGAGACCGAAGCTCCAAACTCGTGAAGCCAAAGGATGATGTTGCTGCTGCTGCTGCTGCTGATGCTGCTGCTGCTGCTGCTGACGATGACCGTGATGATGATGACGACGATGATGATGATGATGATGATGATGATGATGATGATGATGACGATGATGATGATGATGACGATGAGGAGGAGGAGGGGGAGGAGGAGGATGACCAGTGCAAACCCAAGAGTCACCAACGACGTTGGAATACATCCTCCCTCCAAAGCCCCTGCACGAGTTCATTTCCATTGAGGGAACTGCCTCGTTGGAAGACAGCCGTTTGAAGACCCTGAAGCATGCCAAAACATTGTTCTCGGGATTGCAACGCCACGGATCAACCTGACTTTTGCGTCTTGACGATCCTGAACCGTGCCAGAACGCCGTTCCTGGGACTTCAACATCGCGAATCAACGTAAGTGTTGCACCGCGAAATCCGGAATTTTTCCAACACGCAATTTCTGGTTCGTTGATCATGGGAATCCGTGAAACTCTTGTAAAGTTTAAAAACGAATGTGCGCGGTGCTAAAGCGAAAACCACACTTTGAAAAGGAACCACCCTCAATCCGTGAAGCTCTTGCAACTGTTTAAAACGAATGTGCGCGACGCTAAGGCGAGAACCACATTTTGAAAACGACCCGCCCTCCTCTGTAAAGCTCTTGCGCGTTTTTGAAAAGAATGTGCGCGGCGCTAAAGCGGGAACCGCATTGTGAAAACCACTCGCCCTCAATCCGTGAAATTTTTGCAAACTTCTAAAACGAATGCGCGCGGCGCTAAGGCGAGAGCCACATTGAAGCTGTGGCAGAATTTGAAGCTTCAGAATCAGAAATGGTGAGGAAATCTCTGGCGAAACGCCCAGCCCGCCCAAAAAACTGGGCTCGGGGTGCGACGGGGAGAAGTTATGTCTAAGGAAAAAGGATGGAAGGGGAAGGAGGAGGAGGAAGAGGAGGAAGAGGAGGAGCAGGAGGAGGAGATGGGAGGCCTGGAGCCCAAGTTCCTCCTCCTCCTCCTGCCGCTGCGCAGCGCCAGGCGCGGTGATCCCAGCGTCTCACCCCGCGCGCGGCGGGCAGGCTGGAAGGCCCGAAACGCGCCGCACCCACGACGGAGAACGGCCCTTCCAGATTAGGGGAAGAGGGCGGAGGCAAATCATACCCTGATACGAGTGTGGGACTTTGGGAGAGGGGACGGGGGATGGAGGGTAGCTCTGACCTCGCCCTAGCAGCCAATGGCCAAACATTGTTGTGAAGGAGAAAATAAAAATGGCGGGCCGAACACGGGCATTATGGGGTCCTTCAATGGCCGCTGGGGTGACCTTGGTCTTCCTGGGGACTGCAGCGCGGCGGGCCTCGGCCTCCGAACCATCGACCCAGAGGACTTTCACAGTCCGGTTGTTTAGCTCCAAAACGGCGCAGTCGTACTGCTTTGTGGTGCTCTTGCCTTCTACCGCATCGCCAATAACAGTCGCCTTCTTGACACACCTGGTCTTCTGAATGCTGCTGCGCTCAGCTTCTGCTTCGTTTCTGTTGAGTTTGCCCACCACCATCTTCCAGAGTGGCTCCTTGATATCAACGACTAGGGCCCTCAACGTCATCCCGCACTCTCTCATTTGTGCCTTCATCTCTTGTCACTGTTGCAACGCCATGCGTTGGATCAGTGGCTCCGGGTGGCCCCCGTCCAGGTCAGAAGTTTTTAGCCGTGGCGCGTGGTTCCGCTGGTGAATCCAATCGTGTATAGCCTGGCCAACATCCCCTCCTGCCCCTCCTCCTCGTAGCTCTGCTGGTGACCCCGGTAGCTCTGCGGGTGGCCCTCGAACCTCCGCCCCTTGCTGTCGAAGCTCAGCTGGTGGTCCTTGTAGCTGTGCTGGTGGCTCTCGAAGGTCTGCTCGCGGGCCTGGTCGGTTAGCTTGTTGCCCTCGTGGCTCTGCTGAAGGCCCTCGTGCCTTAGCTGGTTGCTCTCGGCTCTCCGCGGGTAGTCCTCGTAGTTTCGCTCGTGGCCATGGTGGCTCAACTGGTGGCTCTGGGCGCCCTACCTGCTGTGCAGGTCGCTCAGCGCGTGGTCCTGGTAGCTTCGCAAGTGGCCCTCGCAGCTCTGCTGGTGGCTCTCTCAGCTCAACCAGAAGGCGCTGGTAGCTCTGCTGGGGCCGCTTGTGGTTCTTCCTAAGGCTGTCGTAGCTTGGCTGGTGGCCCTCGTAGCTCTTCTGGTTGCTCGCGTAGCTTAGCTTGTGGCCCTCGAATCCCTGCATGTTGCCCGTGTAGCTCAGCTTCGGCTCTTGTAGCTCCGCAAGTGGCCCTCGTAGCTCCGCTGGTGGCTCTCGTTGGTCTGCTGTCCCTTGCAGTTCTGCCTGTGGCCCTCCAAGGTCGGCTGGTAGCCCTCGTAGCTCTGCGCGTTGCAGTCGATGCTCTTCTCGTGGCCGTCGTAGTTCTGCGGGTGGTCTAGGTAGCTCTGCTGGTCGCCCTCGGAGTTCTGTTGGTGGCTCTCGGAGCTCTGCTTGGCCCTCGTGGCTCAGCGGGTGGCTCTCGTAGCCGAGCTGGTGGCCCTTGTAGCTCTGCTGGTGGCCATACGCCTGTGCCAGCAAGCCAAGCGTGATGTCAGGCAAGTCGTACGTGCAGCCGACATCGTCGCTGCCGCAATTGTCGTGCTCGTGGCTGCCGTTGCTATCGTTATCGTAGATGTTGTGCTCGTAAGTCTGCTGCTGCACTGGGACCTCCACGATGATGTACTGTATCTGCTAATATATGCGCACATGGTGCTCTCGTATAACACCTCTTCCGTGCGTGCTCTCGTATAACACGTCTCTGTTCGGATTCCGCGCGAACTCTCGTGTAACACATTTTTTTTCAAGGTCGTACGTGTTGGCATACATGTCGTATCCGGTGTTGCACTTGCTGTCGTGCTTGGTGTCGTACTTGTGGCCGTGCAATGCTGCTTCTGACCGTGCAATGCCGCGTGCACCAAATCGGCAACGTCGTGCCAGCAGGCCTGCATGCCGCGACTCATCCGGTAGCCTGTCCTCTGCGCGGCGGCGCGCAGTGTCCTGGGTCCAACAGGACCCGAACGTGTCTCGTAGCTTATCCTCATGTTCTTTGTTGTTGTAACTGTCGCGGTCGCTGTCGCTGTCCGCCCTCGCCTCCTGCGGCCTCTGGCCACCAGGCCACCAGCCGTCACCCGCGCGGGAGCGACGCCACCAGCCCCGCGTCGGCGGAGGGAGAGGTATGGGGGTATCCCCCCCCCCCGCTTCCCCGCGAGGCCATAGCGGCTGCGCGGATCTCTTAGGGCCAGCCCCCGGTGCGCGCTGCGAGGCGCGCGTGGGTTAGTGCGGAGTATGGGTCCCGCATATGGTCCTTCTCCTTCTCCTCAAATCTGACGTTGGCCATACAGAAGCATCTTGGCTTTTGCGTTCTTCCAGTAACGCTGTGCCCTTGGCGCGAGAACAAACATGAAACAATGCCGAAACAGGCCTGCAGGCCAACAACTCACGCCTTGCGGGTGTGCCAGAGAATCTCCTTCTTCTCCTCCTTCTCCTTGCCCCCCTCTTCCTCGAAGCTCCAGCCTCGCGGTCGATGCCCTCCTCCCCCCCGAAGACCCGCCGCAGTCCAGCAGGAACTGCATCGGGGACGGCCAATCCCGCGCCGCCGCCGCGGGCCCGGGGCCGCTGCCCTCGGGCCTGGGCGCCTCGGCCGGCCCGCTCTCCACGCGCACCGCCACCTGTCCGGCGGGGCCTCCAGGAAACCAGGGCCCTCCGACCTCGAACGGGGCAGGGCGAGGCCTGCTGCAGCACTTACGCTTGGAGGCATCGGCCAGGGTTCGCCAGGCATGGGCCCGGCGGGGATGGAGCGACGGCGCGTGGCTTTGCGGAAAGCCTGGACGGCACGCCAAAAATCTGGGGCCCTGCCGTTAAGTTCCTGGCATCTCACTTTTTCGAGCCGGACGTTTTCGCTCGGTTTCGGGCCCCGGGACCCTCACAGATCGATTCGGCCAGAAAAATGGCGCAGAAAGAGAGGGTCTAGGGCTCGAGTCGTGATTCTTCACGAAGTTCCATTACTTTGTAACGAAAGAGACGTCGGATCTCAGGGACCCTTGTGATGCAAATCGAATTCAAAAAACCTTCCTGGAGAGGGCGAGCGCTAGACTTCACCGTCACATGCTTTTCAAATGCAACCGGGCCCCATGGCCAAGACCTGCTTGTATTCAAGCCGAGACGTGATGCACACAGCGCAACGTGTGGACGGCAGCAGTCCAAGCAGGGAGAGGGAAGCAGACGGCAGGGAGGGACAAGGAAGAGCAGAGAACAACGACAAATATCACGAAGATTTTGTTTGTTTGTTTGTTTGCTTGTTTGTTTGTTTGTTCTGTCATGCTCTTTTTTCTTTTCGGGCCCCAGGCGGGGCCAGGGGCCTCAGGATCGGGCCCAGGAGCGCCCCCCCCCCGAAGAGTGACGACGTGAGGCGGGTCCGTGTCGTGGCGGCTTGTGCGCTGGTCTTCCCTGACGTGCTCGCGTCGTGAGAAAACTACGACGGGAAATTATTGGCCGTTTCTGGCCTCCAGAGCCCTGGCCGGGCCTCGGGACTGTCAGAAACAATTCGGGACGAAAAACCGACTCTGGGGAAACGGTCGGGACGCTTGGGGACACCATCTAGAGGAAATCAAGACGTTGGATGACCGCGGCCCCAAGCATCCGACGGCTCGAGAACGACAGTATCCAGCTCTGGCTCAGGCTGGCCATGTCGTGGAGGCCAAGTCTACCTGCTTCTAGAAGATGAATATCTGGGGCCAATGCCAAATGCCGTTCCCACTTTCTAGCCACAAGCGCCTGTGGACACATAGGTGTCGTTACGTATGTAGACACAGTCGGGTTGGATACGTCTATGGACAGCGCGGCCGTTGCATTCGTCGCAATACGAGGCCGGAGAAAAGGGTAGATCCGTCTGCGGTATGCTCCTGTTCTAGAGCAGCTCCCACATGGCACTCCAACCCATGCCACGTGAAACATCCACGTCTTGGCTGCAGCGAAACCGCACGCTCCTCAGCGGTGTGGTGCTACTGGGCCCTTGTCAGCGATGAGCGGGCGATGGGGAGTCGATGCGTTCCCCCCCGAGCCTATCCCACAGTGGTCTCCAGGTCAAAACTCGGGGCTTCAGCGGCCGTTCGAGACGATCCAGGCGCCCCCAGAACGCGCTCGGCGAAGCGCAGCTGCTGGAAGGCAGTCCGGAGCTGGGAAACCGCCGAGAACGGACGAAAACGCCCGAATACCCAACGTTGCCCTGTCCCCTCCTACTGTTGCCCCTGAACCTGTCGGGCGAGGCGTGAAGGCAGCGAGCCCTGGAGGGCCCAGACCTCCGACGGCTCGAAGACATCGAGCCCGCAGGTTTTTTCGATACTCTGGACCCTCGAAGGCCGCTTTCGGGCACCAGGGCCATTGGCCCCAGAAGTCCAGACTCCTTGGGGGCAGTCTTCCATCCCAATTTTTTTTCATGGTCCCAGGTCCCGATTTCGGGCTCCAGTGGCCGAGCTCGAAGAAGAAGGCCTGTATTCAAAACATAATGCCGTCGGAGATGGAGTACCATGTGGGACTTGCTCTAGAGCAGGAGCATACTGTAGACGGATCTACCCTTTCTCCGACCTTGTACTGCGCCGAACGCGACGGCCGCGTCTTCCATAGAAGTATCCACGCCAAATCTGTCTATATACGTTACGACACCTAATCCGCCGATCCGGCGTGTGAGTTGAAGAAAGCTACAACCTGAGCTTCAGCTCTGCTGGGGGGAGGCCGGGGTGGCTCTGCCGGGGTAGGGGGGGAGGGGGGGGGGGGGGTTCATCGGGTCCACCCTTTCTTTCCCCCCCCCCGGAATCCCAAACCGCCCCAAGACGGGCCAAAAGGGGCCCAGGAGGCCACCAAAACGGTCCAGGAGGCGCCCGAAACGGCCCAAGAGCGCTCCTGGACGCCCAAGATGGTCTGAAGACGCCCCAACAGGCCTCCAAGACGCTTCAAGGAGATCCCAAGAGGACCCCCAAGAGGGTACACTAATAAAGTTGCTAATAGGTGCTGACGCATTTTAACATTATCGCCTTTGTCCGTTTTTGAAGCTCCGAAGACGGTCCAAGAGGCCCCCAAGATCGCCTCAACACAGCCCAAGAGGCCCCCAAGAGGAGCCAAGACGGTCCAAGAGGGCCCCAATACATCCCTGGAGGCCCCCCAAGACGACCCCGAGAGGCCCTCAAGATGGCCTCAAGAGGGTGAACCCGAACGGACCCTTCTGTCCTCCGCCCCAAGATGACCCCAAGAGCCCCTAAGATGCCCCCTGAGGCGCCCCCAAGGGGCCCCCAGGGGCCCCCAAGAAGTCCCCAAGAGGTCCCCAAGAGGACCCCGAGAGGCCCCCAAGAGGCCCCAAAGGCCCCCAAGAAACCCCAAGAACCAAGATGCCCCAAGAGGCGCTCACTCGCGTTCTGCCAGGCACGAGGTGCACGGCCTGACTTGGCATTGCTCGGAAGCGAAACCGATGAACGAAGAACCTTCCACCCGTCGCCGTCACCAGTCGTCGGTCGTCGGCCGTCGGCAACCGTTCGCCGTCAATCGTCGTCGTCGTCGTCGTCGTCGTCGTCGTCGTCGTCGTCGTCGGTTCGTCGTCATTAGCTCCTTCGTCGGTCGTCGTCGTAATTATCCCGCTCGTCGACCGTTGGTCGTCCGTTGTCGTCGTCATCGTCCATTCCAAACAACAATAGCATCAGGAGCGCCACGGATCGGCGGCACTGGCCGGAGGCCACTACAATATATCGATAGACGCTTGTGGCTAGAAAGCGAGAAAGATACTTGGCACATGCCCCAGATATTGGTCTTCTAGAAGCAGGTAGACTTGACCCTCCAACGTCGGAGATCTGGGCGCGTGTGCAAAAGACCCTCGGACAAAAACTTCCTCCCTCGAGCTGCTCTTCAGCTCCCTGCTCTGCAAGGCCGTGCACGCCGATAGCAAAACCGAAAACCGACCGAAATCGACAGGTCGAAACCGGCCTCCCGGGGCGCAGCGACGCAGCAACGACACGAGAACCGACCGAACCGAACCGATCACTGCTGCGCCACCGGACCGACCGAACCGTGAACGCCTTTTGCTCCGGCCGGCCTGAGGCGCCGCGGCTGCAGGGGGCTCCAGCGGCGCGGCCCGCTGCTGCACCCGCGGCCACGCCCGCCGCAGCGGGCGCAGCGACGGGCTCAGCTGCCCCTCCGGCGGCCTCGGGGCGCTGCTTGACAGACCAGTGCGGAGACGCCGCCCCAGACATGCTCCCCTGAGATCCTGGCGTGCTAGTTTTTTTTTCGAGCCAGGCGTTTTCGTTCGGTTTCGGGCCGCGGGACCTCACAGATCGATCCAGCTCGAAAAATGGCGCAGGAAGAGGGGGTCTAGAGCCCAGGTCGTGATTCATCACGATGTCTAAATTTTTGTGCAACGTCGGACATCACGGGTCGAGCGCAGAGCCGTTGTCCCAGACATGTTCGCGTCGTGGGAAAAGCACTGTGGACAATTTCTGGCCGTTCTCGGCCTCTGGGGGCCCCCGCCGGGCCTCGGGACTTCCAGGGACTGCAGCATGGAGAAAATCGGGACTTCGCACATGTCGGGGGAGACGCCGCGCGAGGGGCGAGGGCTGAGCTCGCTACCCATCGCGCTTTTTCCAGACCAGGTCGGGGCAGTGCGGGATCAGGCGGCTCGGGGCAGTGGCGAACGTGCAGCACGGATCAGTAGTGGGAGTGGGGCAAGCGGGAAGCTCACAGGAGGGCACGATGCCCAACACGCACGCACTTTTTTGTATGCGGCCGCTGGGTCCAACGCAGTGAGTTCTTTGGCTGTGCACACCTGGATCAAATACCACAAAGGCTTTGCCAATGGATGGCCAGCACGTGGCTGACGCGCGCAAGAGAGAGGGGGGGGGCTGGAGCCAGTTCACGTGAACGCCGAACAGAAAAAAGTCTTACGCGAGATGACATAGCGACCCTACGCGGTGGCTTACGTGGCCGCCAGCGCGGCAGTCTACATTGGAAACAAGGGCACTTACGCGCGCGACCTTACGCGGGGAACTTACGCACGAATGCCAGCGCAATCGAACCCATTTTTTTTTTGCGTCGCTCACGTGGAAAATAGCGACGTGCAAAGGGGGTGCGAGGGCACCATCCAGAAAATGTGAGAATACGAACGCCGTGGCCCGCAGCCCACCTAGCCGCATGGGGGGGAAGCAGGTCCTGAGGGAAACGGCCTGGACCCCGGGGGCCTCCCCCACAGGACGAATGTTTCATCCTGAATCGTTTTTGCTGACGGTCCCGTGGCCCGTGGAGGGCCCCGCGAGCCCGCAAACGGCGGAAAGCCACAGAACCGGTTTCTCCCAGGGCACGTCTGCCCCGTGGCGAACTTCAGAGCGCGGAGCGAGCGAACAGGTGCAGGGAGGCGGGCAGCTGCAGAGAAGGCGCGCCCATCTGTAAGGGCAGAGGGCCGAAGCGTGGCCAACCAGGTGGACGACCCGCAAGGGCAGCAACGGCAGCAAGGGGCAAAGGACGGGGGCGACACCCGGGAACCAGGGCGAGGCTGGAACTGGGGGAGGGAGGAGGTCGAGCGGCGGGGGCACGACCGACGACCCAAGGGGAGCACGAAGCCCCGGCGACCGTCCAAGAGCCGAGCAAAGGAGGAAACGAGCAGAGGAGCGGCGCAGGACGGCGAGAGCTGGGGAGGACGACACCACCTGGTGGCACACCGCGGCCGAGGGCGGGGCCGCCCAGGGAGGCCGACCAGCAGGTAGGCCAGGCAGGCAACTCCGCGATGGGCCGTGGGCAGAGACGCGGCTCTGGGCACACCGCGCCCGAGGGTCGGGCCGCCCATGGAGGCCGACCGGCCAACGGCCAGTCAAGTAACTCTGCCAGGGGCAACTGGGTGCGCCCAGTCTGGCTTCCACATTGGGGCCAGTCAACAGCGAACATGCAAAGCAACGTGCAGACTGGGCTTGGCAAGAAAACGACGGGCAGCGGCCCCGGAACCTGCGCCAGCTGCAATGCAGGCGGGAACAGGCGTGTGCCGCACTGTGGGGGGTGGTGGTGGGCCCCCTGGTGGGGCCACCAGAAAGCGGGCAGAGAAGTGCACCGAGTGAGAGAGTAAAAGCGAGAGACCAGTGGGCGGGCTGAGATCAAAGCGACGCGCGGCCAGGGCGTGGCACGACATCGGCCAGCGCCGGCCCTGGCACCTGCGCCATGCAGACGGGGCAGAGGCGAGTGCCGCACTGGGGGCGTGCCCCAGCCACCCCAGGAAAGGCGCAGGCCAGACGCCCTTCTTGAGGCAGGGCAACCCCCAAGCCTGGTCAGGCGTTCGAGCGCCGCCGGAGAGAGCAAGCCATGCCGCGGAAAACGCGTGCGAAGGAGCAGCAGGCGATCGCCGCCGGGCTGCTCCCCGACAGCGAGGAGAGCCAGCGCGAGTGGCATCCCCCTGGCGGCGCCACCAGGAAGTGGGCGAGGCGCGTGCGACGTGCCGCTGGGTTTGGCGAGACGACAAGCGGCGGCGGCCCATGCGTCCGCGCCGAGGAGGAGGGGCGCAACCACCTAAGTCTGGCGCGTCAGCCCGCCACCCCCAAGGCCGGACCAAGCGTTCGAGCGCCGCCAGCGGGGGCAGGCCATGCCAAGAAAAAACACGTTGCGCGCGGGGTGGGAGCCGCGACGCCGCGGGCGGGCCAGTGAGCGGTCCCTGGTGCGCTAGGCACCCACCAAAGCGAGAGTGGCACCGAGCCGGCGAGGCTTCGCGGAGGAATTGCCGGGCCAACCCGCGAGAGGGGCTGCCGACCCGGAGCGGCAATGGCTGCAATTTCCCAGGGCGACTTCGAGGAGGCGGGCGGGGAGTCGGGGGCCTACGACCTGTCCAGCGGCCGCCACCCCTAGTGCGCTAGGCACTAGGCATTTATACGCTGCCTGAGGAGCGCTATGCGCCCAAATTGCTTAACTGCTTCCGCGAAAAGGGGAGCGGGAAGGCCCGACCAGCCGACCCGGGGGGGGAGGAGGGCAAGAAGGACGCAGGAGACTTGCCACCAATATCGCCGACACCTGCGTGGCAAAGAATCTAGGCACCCGCGCCAGCAGCGGGTGGAAGCGGTATTAGGAGGCCTGGGTCCTCCGCTGGAGCACTCCCAGGCGCGCCACAGTGGAACACGCTGGCACACAGGCGGTCGGGGAGGGTGGGTGTGAGCGGGAGTAACACTACTCGGCATGGGTAAGGCTTCCAACCTACACCCCTCCCGACAACCAGGGTGACCCAGAAGGCCGGGAATTGGGGCACGAAACAATGTATTGTTGATGAGGCATGGAACCGTGTGGATTGTTGAGCTGACCCAGAGGGCCGGAATCGAGGCCGAAGCCAGGTGGAACAGTGGAGGACCCAGAGGGCCAGAAATTGGGACAGGAAGCCAAGAGGATGGATGTTGGGCCCGTCGGAGCGTGGGCCCTTTGTGTGAACGGCGTCGGGTGGCTGGCCTTTCGGTGCACATCCGTGCGGGTCCGACAAAGGTCGGAGGCGTTTGCTAGCGGCCGCGAGCTCCGGTCCCCTGGCCGGGGTCGTAGTCATTATCCCGTTCGCGCTTGTCTCCCCGACCTCCGTGGGACGGGCCGTGGGTGTCGTGGACCTGCCATGCCTGGAGTTCGGGTTCGAGTCGATGCCGCAATGCGCACGATTCGGGCACGAGGGGCGTTCCCCGTTGTGGGTCCAAGGTGACGCCGCCCGTGCCGCCCCAGACGCGGTTGCGTCGTTTGCCGTGTCGTGCCACCCGTTGCGCGTGTTCATGCCAATGCTCTGTCCGGTACCGAGATTTGTTTACGTGCAAGGTGCTGGACGACGGCCGCATTGGTCTGGGGGTCTGCGTCGGTGGGGCGCCCGCGGGAGACTTCGTCATGGTGGCGCGGTGGTGGCACCCGAGCGGCACGGTCTCCCGCTCCACTCCCCTCGCGTGGCTGCGACGAGGCGACGTCGCGTTCCCGAGTGCCGTTGCCCCATTCGCGTCCTTGCTGATGTATCCGTGTGGTCTCGGGCACGCTCGCCCTGCGCCCAGTCGGTGTCGCGGGAGTTCCAGGTCCAGGGGGCGTGGTCCCACCAAGAGTCTCGCCAGCGGCCAGCTGCAACTGGGAAGACGTCGCGCGTATAGTTGGGAGGTCGGGGTGCGACGGGTCCCGGCGGTGGGGTGGGGTCGCGTACACGCACACGCGCACGCACGTACGCACGCACGCACGCACGCGCAAACACACACAAGTACACAAACATGCACAGTCATACAGAAGTTCACACGTTCACACAATCACGCATTCATACACACTCACACACGCACGCACACACGGCACACACGCATACACACAAACATACACACAGACACAACACACAACACGCACCACACACAGACACACAAATGATACAACACACAACACACGCAACAATCGCAACACACAACACACAACACACACAACAGACAACACAACAGACAACACAACACACAACACACAACACACACACACGCACCACGCACGCGCACACAGACCACACACAACACACAACACACAACACACAACACACAACACACAACACACAATACACAATACGCACAATCCATACTACACACCACACAACGCGCGCACACAACACACAACAAACAACACACAATATATACACACAAGGCGCACAACACGCAACACACACAACACACACACGACACACACACGGACACACACGGACACACAAACACACATTCACACACATTCAAACACACATTCACACACACACACACGCACTCGCGCATTCACACATTCGCACACATGCACGCGCGAACGAAAGCACGCACGCACAGAACGGACACACACACAATACACAGCACACACAGCACGCAATACACAACACATACGCGCACACACGCACAAGCACCACACACATACCTTTTAGCGACCGTGACCTTGTCCAATGCGAGCATGTCCAGCACACACAACCCTGAAAGCAACGATCAGAACCCAAGCCAACACAGCCGTGCCGCACACGTGCCGCGCGCGCGCGCCCACCACCCTGGGCCGCGGACTCGCTGGCACGCGGCGGCTGGGCTTGTGGAAGCCGCTGCTGCTCGGGCCTCGAGGGGCAACGTTCGGGGGGACCAGCTCGGGGGGGGATTTCGAACTAGAATCGGCGATACATCGCAGATGGATCGGCGATGCGCCCCCGGTGGCGAGTCCGCCAGCTCCTGTGCGGGGAAGGCTGTCGGGCCCCCATCGGCGATGAGTGGGCGATTGGCGGCCGACGCGCCCCCCCCTCCTGAGCCTATCCCCTCGTGGTTTTCGGGTCATAGCTCGGACCTCCAGCGGCCGTTCGGGACGACCCAGGCGCCCCCCGCAACGCTCTCGGCGAGGCGCAGCTGCTGACGGCACTCCGAGGCTGGGACACCGCCGAGAACTGGCGGAAACGCCCCGAATCCCAACCTTCCCCTGCTCCCTCCCCGCGTTGCTCCTGAGGCCTGAGCCACGGCGGCGCCGCGGGCGCCGGCGCCGACTGCGCAGCGTGCTGCGAGTGTGGCCCCAGCGGGGGCGGCGAGGCCGCGCCCCTGGCCGCGAGCGCGGCGAGCGAGAGCGGTGCGGCTGCTGTGGGCGCGGCGGCGCCCGGTACACCTCGGGGGGGTCCTGGCAGCCCCCGGCGGATCGAGGGCTCAGGCGTACGCTGAGGGCATTGGATGAGGAACCACGGGGTGAGGATTCCATGGCCTGGAAGCAAGTGGAAATCCACTCGTGGATTTGCCATAGGTTGCACCACCGCCCTCATCAGATAAGGAGTCCTTGGTCTGCAGCCTTCTAGGCACATTTCTGAACGAACGCCCCCACCGCATCCGAAATGGGGGAACCGAGGTCAGCTCCGCGTGGCCGATTGGCCGTTGGGCGGGGCCGAAGACCCCGACGAGGACGCGGAAGTTAAACAGTTTTCGGATATTGTCGTCGGTTCCTGATGGTTTTTCAGCCTCGGGGTGCGTTCCAGCAGCTGCGCCTCGCCGAGAGCGTTCGGGGGGCTCCCGAATCGCCCCGAATGGCCGCCGGAGGCTCGGGCTCTGGCCGGAAAACTGGACATCCAACGGGCTTGAAAAAAAATCCAGGCGGATGGCTTTCGTCGCTTTCCGCCTCAGGGGGCCGGTTTCGGGTCCCAGGGCCGTCAGAAAACGGCTCGGGATAGATAATCGGCCCTGGGGAAAGTGTCGCGACTCCCAGGGCCCCCTGCGTCGAAACAAAATCAAAACATCAGATGTGTGAGAAAGGTTGCAAACATAGGATGGATTCCTCCCCTCCTTTCTGCTCAATCCCGCCTGCCTCTGACCCTAAGTGTTCCTGCGTGCCTCACGCAGGAGTGTCTGTAAGCAACGACAGCTGTGGGGCCCTCCATGGTTATCCCCTGAGCATCGTGAACTGCAGGGTTTCATAAGATTTCCGGTGAACCAGAAAGCGCATGCGTGTGTTCCGAAGCAGGGCAGACCGTTGCCCACGGCCTCGTGGCGCCTAGACTGCAGACTCGGTGAAGCGTGTGACCCTCACGTGTGGGCTGGCGGGTGACCTTTCGATTCGGTGTAGCGTGGCGTCGTGGCTGTCCTGTGGCCTCCACGGACATGTCTGGATGCTTCTTTAGCAAAGCGCCCTTTAGTGAACACTGCCGTGGACATTCCACGGGTGCGCGCAACACCGCGTTCCGAATGCACCCTGGTGTTTAAACGATGTCTAAATACTACTGGGTGTTTCCAAAACGATACACGTCGATTAGCAAAACCGACGGGGGACTGCACTGGCACACTGCGAACACCAGCGTCGAACGAACTGGTGCAGAATTTCTCGATCGAC